GCTGCAAATTATCCCGCTTATTACATGGCCACATTCTCAACAAAGTAACGACATGACTCCCAATATTAATTAAAATGCTTTTATGGATTTACAAAATATTTTTATTGATTTAAAAAATAGTTGTATGTATTGATTTAAATTTACATGCATCCGCTAAGAAAAATATTCCGTTGTTACCGTTTTTTAAACAGTCAGAATGAAACGGCAGCTCTCAGCTGTGTGTTTACACTCCTAATGGCCCATCACAGCTCTCCCCCCCCCCCCCCCCCCCCCCCCCCCCCGATCTTTCTTTTCCAACAGTTAAGTTAACTGTAGGTTACTCTGAGTGACAAGCTTACAGTTAGTGAAGTAACACTTTTTTTTTGTGAGTCACAACCTCGCTGTTTCATTCTAACATAACGCTCCAAATACGACTGTTTCCACTCGGACTTCAATACAGCAACACCATTGTTTGGTTTCCATGGTAGCGTGTCTCTTTAGTAGCGTGCACTCCTTTCCTTTCCTTTAAAACGAATTGGCCATCGGAATGTGTGTGTCCCAACCCCCCCCCCTGTGATATCTCTTCTCCAGCAGCCTGTAGGTTTGTGTTCGCATATTTATGCTGTCGCAGTTCCTCTTGTTTCTATCGCGCATTGCCGGTATGAAAGGGTCTGTGCCGGAAATATCAAGATAACACGGCAGGGTCCGTTACAGTTTGTTTTCATCTGATTTCAAATAAACAAAGTCTTGGCTTTCAGAATATTAAACTTGTTTCGGCAAATTTAGATGATAAATACAACTATGGAGCTTGTAACGGCATAATTACTAATAATTTTAATTTATAAAATAGCACTTTACCCCTGCTTACACCTATATGCCATTTTATATGCTGTGAGCTGATTATCGAGCCTTCATTGTAAGAGCCGCGGGTACACTGTGTATGTGCGTACTCCACTGTAGCGCCCGGTACATTAATGGGAAACCCTAGTTTGTACTTGTTCAATACATTTGTAACACTGTACACATGGACGTTTATTTTTTCGGTTCACCAAAAAAAAAAAATCTCACTCCAAGCTGAACTCAAATGTTGGCAGCCCTGCGTTCACCATCCCCCACCCGCCTACTGTATGTTGCTTTTTGACATGTAAATGGGTAACTACCCCCCTCTGAGTGAATACCTGTTGTACCTGTCCGGGGCTAAGCCCATAGGACGATGCTCTGATGTCATCACCCTCGCACATTTGTCATATGTTTACAAAAAACGATGTTAACACTTTCTCGTTCTTAATATATGCTATATTTAGGGTCGATATGTGTTGAATTTACTTTAAAATAGCAGATCACTGTGATTCGGCTTAGTGAACGTGTGTCTCTTCTCCGCGGCTCCTCCGTGCAGAGAGGCCCCCCCCCCGTTGACAATTCACGAGCGTCTCTCCCCCCCCCCCCCGTCGCACCTTCTAACAGAACCCCCCCCCCCACATATCAAATCCCAATTTAACTGCTCTGGAGCAGAAATGAAAGAGTTTTAAAATGTTTACGTTTTGGTAAGTTTTTAGGGAAATGTTGTAATATTGCAACGTTGGCCTTAGGTGGGAGCAGAATTTCTGTATTTCTACTCACATTGTCTGAATAAATATATTGAACAACTAAGGGTTCATTTGCAGGATTGATTGCTTACTTAGCCCTATATCAGTATATAGCATGAATAATAATCACACATCACTCATATTTGTTATGAATAATCATTTATCAAATAGTAAGTTGCTTTGGATAAAAGCGTCAGCTAAATGCAATTTATGAAAGCCTCACTCAGGATTTTTTTAACAAGTGTTTTTCGACAATGTCAATTTCACTTTCCACTATGTCCACCGTTGTTTTTCACAACCAATGGCAGAACTTTATTGAGGCCTGTAATTAGTCAACTACAGGTCTCTTGGGTCAGTCTTTTCTTCCAAAAAGCTTGTGAAAAGATGTTAAGTTAACAGGTATTCACTCAGAGGGGGGGTCGGTGATTTATTGCTCTTGGGGCATTAAAAACAAGATTTTAACTTTAGTTTTTTATATAATATCTGCATTTTCTCTTGTGAAAAACTAAGTCTTAGTTTGGCCATAGTTATTTAATATATAGCGCCATCTCCTGGTTAAACCCTGAAATTGGAGAATAGTGGGAGGGCTTAACATTCCTGGATACTGGTCTTTGGCAGGTCTTAGGCAGGTAACTGGCTGGCAGTAGGCAGGAAGCTGTATGCTGGCGTCCGAAATAAGATGCCCCATCTGTACATATTATTTGAGTAAGGTCGGGTTCCCGTGGGGGGAGGGGGGCAGAGGGAGGGGAGACCAGGTGCATGTTGCGAGACATTCAGACTTGGCTAAAATTGGCTAAAATTGTCAAAATCAGGTTTGTGTTTATATCTGCTGTTGTGGATGATATCATGAAGCCTTGTTCAGATAAAAAAAACTAGAGCGTAGTTATTATATAATTTTAACTTGAAACGGGTCACGGGAGACCCGAACACAACATATACATAACTACAAGTCCCTCATTAAAAAAAAGTACAGTGAAATATAGCCTACTATAGCCTACTTTACATGACTGAATACATTAATACAAATAAGTCCACTAGAAAAAAAAAAGTTTGCCCCAGAGAATAAAGTATCACGGTACATTTCATGACAGTGCTGAAAACTTCGTACCTTGATAAAACTAGAAAAATCCTCCAGAAATCTTCGCTCTTCTTTAGACAGTGACAGGAACCGATGCTCGGAGCAGCTGACGCAGGCTTCTTCTCTCCTCTGTTTACAGTCTGCCCAGCTGATCGAGCCCGCCCCCTCGCTTAATATTCGTTTTCCCTTCCATGCCTCAATCATTTTCGGTTTCTATTATCCAAAAATGACCTGCAGTGTTTTGGACATTGTAAAATGCACGAGGGCGTAGTCCCGGTCTTTTTCCTTGACGTGAAGTTTTTTTCTGTAATTGAATAAACTGACGACTCATGATAAACTCAAAGTGACTCTTTAGTATTTTTATTTCATAGGTTTAATCCGGGGGTGTCAAAACTACGGCCCGCGGACCATTTTGAATCGGCCCTCAGCAAATTAAAAAAGTATAATGGAACATGGACAAGTGGTTTTATTAACACAGTAGTATTCATGTGTTAATAAGACCACTTTTCAAATAAATTCAGTCAATTAAAGTTGGAAACATTTTCTGGCATATTTTATTGGATAAGAAAAAAGCTCTATGACTTATTTACATAACAAGCTTGAAATACACCCTTCCTATTTCTCCTTATTAGGAAATCTGAGGCTTCTGTTTGAAGGGATGAGCTGCTAACACTCACAAGCATAATTTACCTACATTTGATTGATTTTGCTAACTTATAACTGAACTTATGAGGCAATATACCTCTAGTGAGAGGCCCAGCCCTTCGTATATTTTTCTGCATGTGGCCCTCGGTGAAAGAAGTTTGGAGACCCCTGGTTTAAAGGGGACCTATCATGCAAAATGCACTTTTGTACATCTTTTATACATGAATATGTGTCCCCGGTGTTCCAGGGAACTCACCAAGTGTCAGAAAACACAACCCTCTCTATTTTCCTCCATACCCAAATCTCTAAAAAAGGGGCTGCAACGGATCTGATACAGACTGATCCAGATTTGAACACTTTACTGACGTCAGTCATTTCATTTCAAACCTTTATTTAACCAGATTGGTCCCATTGAGATCATAGATCTCTTTTTCAAGGGAGACCTGCAGCACCCATGCTGGGGTTGGGCCACGGCCGGCCATTGCCGCTCGAAAGCGCTGGAGACGCTGTAGTACATATGCCAGGCCTGTAAGTGGCGCTGTAGTCTGCCACAAAAGCAGCGAAGAAGACTTCCCGCCCATAGTTACCATGGTTACCCTTCTGTTTATTCTCCGCTGTGGCTTTTTTTCTCCCTCCCCGAGGCAAGCGCTTGCTCCCGCTGCTTTAATTCAATGCAATCCCTCCCCGTCGAGGCAAGCACTGTAATTCTCTCCGGTTAGTCCACCAGCAGATGACAAACACCCACCTCTCCGCCTCTTCCAAGGAACGAGGGGACCGTGCGGCAGAGTTTCAGTTTCAGTTTCTTTCGCCGGTCAAGATGGCCGTTAAAGTTTAAATCTTCCAGACAAAATTAGAAAAGTGCCGGTCATAGGTCTTCTTTGTTATTTATTGAGCTTTAAAACAAATGAATAACGACTCTATATAATAATAGGCTATAATAAAACACGGAAGACGGAGATCTATTTTTCTCCCCCTCTTCTGACAGCCTAGCAGCTGTTCAGAGCGTGCTCCCCTCTCCTGCAGGGGGGCGTGGTCAGCTGCAGCTCACAGAATCAGCCCCCTGCAAAAACAGGGCTGGAGAACAGCAAATAGAGCGAAATGAGGCATGGCTTAAAATCATGATCTGTTTGGTATTTTGAAAACAGAAACGTATAAATATACCTTATATAGGTATGGCCCTACAATATATCATTTAAATATAACATGATAGGTGTCCTTTAAACCATAACAATAACAGTGCTGAACTAAGAATAGACTGTACAGTCAACCCAAAAAGTGAACGCGATAACTGTAGGAAGTTTTTCTAAGATAAATTGCATGAAATTAAAGCAGATTATTTTGTGTAATTATTGCATCAGAGATGAGTTTTGCTGGTATTTTTGGAAACTGTTAATAACATTTTTTTTTCTGTATGGTGTATTTGTTTTAACAATTGGAAATAATAAATAGGCTCTTCTCTTTTACTACACATTCAGGGTTTCCTTCTCCCTTACGCTTTGACATTGTTCTGTTATCTCTTTGGTTTTTCTAACTTTATACTTTACTAATGCAGGACGACTGTTCAGCATAGAGGGAAAACTCTGTTCATTAGGTCTTTACTTGGCCCTCCTCCTGTGATAATTAGTTTTTATCTTAATGCCGGAGCATCTCAAATCACTATACAGATCTCCTTTAATCTGATGGTAAGGGGGACAGTTTCTGAGATGACCTACCTCCAGGATGTTCATAACAAAGTAGAACATCAGCAGAAAGCCAGGGGCAAAAATAAGCCGATCCAGTAGCAGACGTTTGACTATGAAGAGTGGGTCTGTCGTGGGCATCCACACCTCCATCAGCTGGTAGAAGATATGGCTCACTGGACATGTGATAAAAAACCTGAAATACACAGGAACATAGAGGACAGGTAATTTTCCCACAATTGGTGATGCATTTCAGCTCACAATCACAAACCATTACATGTATTTTCCTGTTATTTAGCACATCAACCCTCAATTTTGTTTCCATATAAGGTCTCACCCAAAGGTTGCATATCGTGCAGTCGCAGACGGGTCGATCTCACCGACCGGGGCTCCACTCTTGATCTTTTTTCTTGCCTCCAAAATCTGAGACAGAAGATGTCCTAAAGGTGAGCTCTGACATTTTATAGAGAACATAATAAATCTACAAGATAATCAGTGGATGAATTGATTATGAAAATAATATTTAGGTGTGGCTTTAGTTTTGAGGGACAAAATCTCACAATATTGTCAGCATTACAAAACTTCAGAGATTACCAGAGGTATTCAATGGTTACTAACAGTTAAATACATTCTTAAAATGTTGTGGAAAGAATGTGTCATGCATACATTTCTTACGCAACACACTTTTAATTGACAGCCTATGCATATCCCTGCCGACCTGGTGGACCAACTGGAGCGACTGGCGCTGGTGGATTTCCGCACCAAACAGGGACTGGCCTGTTTGGAGAAAGCCATCAGATTTGCAGATCAGCTTCATGCTGTTGACACTTCAGGGGTGGAACCAATGGATTCAGTTCTGGAGGACAGGTAAGGTTCAACCAGTTATGAAAACAAGTGTATTTGTATGTTGGCCTCCTCATCCCTGCTATATCAAATGAGCCCCAACTGCAGCACAGTTTTAAACTGAGCCGATTGCATAAATATAGTTTCATCCATTCAGGTCATTAAACCTTAGGGAGGATGCAGTGACGGAAGGGGACTGTGCTGAAGAACTGCTTCAGCTCTCCAAACACACTGTTGAAGAATATTTTGTGGCACCACCAGGTGAGAATAAACCTGATTACATGTATTTGTAAACATTAGAGCGGATTGTATCATTGGTTTTAAATAATTAAGAGTATATGGGAATGAAATTGAACAAGGCCTCATTGGTTGCTGATGTATTTCTGCCTCTCTACACTTGCCTGCACTATATGCTCTTCCCATACATTTGTACTACTGGCTTCTCTATGGTTGAATAACTAATCAGAGTTTAAAGAATATATTAATATGGACTTGTGCAATATCCAAATCTCACAAGACACAATATTTTATAAGGTTAAATGTGTGTAAAGATACAATTTTCTATCAGGCAGTCTTGTGATTCACAAACCAGATTCTAAAGACTTAAAGGTCCCATGTCATGGCCATTTCTACTGATCATAATTCCATTGTTGAGGTATACTAGAATAGATTTATATTGTGCAATTTTCCAAACTCACATTGGTTTCTCATACAGCATCTCTGTATAGTATGTGCATTCACTCTCTGTCCTAAACGGCTTGTTGGAGCTCCTGCCCCCCCCCCTCCCTGTGAGCCCACTGTGCTCTGATTGGTCAGCTTGCCCACTCTGTTCTGATGAGTCTACCACCGTTACAGCGGAACATCAGTGATTATGTGTTACAATGGCGTTAGCAACCAGAAAATGACACCAGTAATGACAAACAGATGAGAATGCTGCGGGGTCCGGGTGCCGTGTTGGCGGGACGTTGCGCGGCTCGCTGCTGCGAGGAGTGGACAGTGTGAGCTGGGTTCATTTCCTGCTTGCTGCGTGGGATCTGCGAGACAGCGAGACATCGCGAATGGACGCGGGAAGGGGGGGGTGCTGAGGGGGCTGCAGTACCCCCATCTGCGAGGCTCCACTAGCACCCGCACCCCCAAACGCGGCGCACCTACAGCGTTCACTGTACCCAGGAAGAAGAAAGATAAATCTCCAACGAGGCGTTCTGGGGCAGCATAGACAGGTCTTTTCTGTGTTTGGACAACCTGTGTTATGAGGACATTGATAAGGAATGTTGCACAAGGCTTGTGATTTACATGGTGACAGTGATTGTCATGTGTCCTGTTTTTATTCAAGTGTTGTTTAACTTTGGTAATAACAAATATTTTCTACCTTTTCGTTTAGTTTGTTTTAGGTTTACTGTGTGTGGCTAATAATAGACTCTGACGTGTTATTTAGATTTTATCTGATGAAAGGATTCTCCCTTTCCTTTTAAAAACTAAACAGACCTGTCAACACATGATCTAATCTGTGAATCATCATGTGCCTTAAGGCTCTGATCACCTGAGCTTTACAGGGAAGGTGTGAGGCCTGAATTTTAAGTGGTGTAAAAAAACGTTTTAGTCTGTATTATTATTTAAAGTGGACTTATCATGCTATATTTAAATGATATATTGTAGGGCCATACCTATATAAGGTTTATTTATACGTTTCTGTTTTCAAAATACCAAACAGATCATGCATGTTAGCCATGCCTCATTTCGCTCTATTTGCTGTTCTCCAGCCCTGTTTTTGCAGGGGGCTGATTGTGAGCTGCAGCTGACCACGCCCCCCTGCAGGAGAGGGGAGCCGCTCTGATCAAGTCAGAAGAGGGGGAGAAAAATAGATCTACGTCCTCCGTGTTTTATTATATTGTTATATAGAGTCGTTATTCATTTGTTTTAAAGCTCAATAAATAACAAAGAAGACCTTTGACCGGCACTTTTCTAATTTTGTCCGGAAGATTTAAACTTTAACGGACATCTTGACCGGCGAAAGAAAACTGAAACTCTGCCGCACAGTCCCCTCGTTCCTTGGAAGAGGCGGAGAGGTGGGTGTTTGTCATCTGCTGGTGGACTAACCGGAGAGAATTACAGTGCTTGCCTCGACGGGGAGGGATTGCATTGCAGCGGGAGCAAACGCTTGCCTCGGGGAGGGAGAAAAAAAGCCACAGCGGAGAATAAACAGAAGGGTAACCATGGTAACCAGTCTTCTTCACTGCTTTTGTGGCAGACTACAGCGCCACTTACAGGCCTGGCATATGTACTACAGCGTCTCCAGCGCTTTCGAGCGGCAATGGCCGGCCGTGGCCCAACCCCACATTCCCCTGATAGGTGGAGAGTTGGCCCAATAGCCGTAGCGCCACCGTCCTGACGTCAGGACAGTGTTCAAATCTCGATCAGTTTTTATCAGATCCGTTGCAGCACCTTTTTTAGAGATTTGGGTATGGAGGAAAATAGAGAGGGTTGTGTTTTCTGACACTTGGTGAGTTCCCTGGAACACCGGGGACACATATTCATGTATAAAAGACGTACAAAAGTGCATTTTGCATGATAGGTCCCCTTTAAGTTTTGGGAACTACACAATTGCAGCAGCAGAGGGAGCAATTGGTTTTAGTATGGATGAAGGAAAAAAATTGAGGATACACTTCCTATCATGCAACATGAAAGCATATTTTTTTTTGTTCAAATTTGTTTGCATTATACAGGTTTAATAGAACTTCCTATTAAAGGTCTTTACAGTTTTAAAAATCAGAGATTTTAAAAGCCCCTGAAATGACCTTCCTAGATCCGGATCAAACCCGTCTTTTATTGAAAACCTGTGCTCCAGACTCATGCAGAACTGACATTGGACATTGTTCTTCTCTTGCTAAATTTGATAAAACATGGCCAAACCGATCATTATCTCAGATAAAATTATATTTATTAGTGAACAGATTTGTGAATACTTGATTCTGATTGTCAACTGCATTCTTCTGTCTGTTTTTCTATACAACAGACCTCTGCTATGCAAAACAGATCATTGCTATGCTCGCAGTTCTCTTTCCCATTACTAATCTGATATCTTAAAATGGCAAACTGCCCCTTTTAACATATGATTAAAACACTCATGCAATGCTTCAACCTACATTTTGACCACAGTATTTGGTCCAGTGTCTCCATGTTAATTGTGTAGTAAACACATGCTATATAGTTTTCATATAGACAAATGAAAAATAAATTAAATTACCATACCATCTTTTTTCCCAGGCAAAAGGATGGAGAGACTTTGAAAGCAAGATGAGAGGAAGTTACTGGACTGCCTTGAAAATGAACTGGAAAGTGTGGACTCCCTTTCAGTTCGTCAATATCAACTTTGTGCCTTATCGAGGTATGCCCTTCATTCATTGGCATCCTGTCATCAAACAAAAGATGAATCACTTGTAATGGTTTCCCCCTTCCCTTCCTGTCTCTGTTTTTGCTTTCAGTTCCGAGTGTTGTTTGCCAACATGGTCGCCTTTTGGTACGCCTACCTTGCATCTGAGAGGAAATATAGCTTCCCGACCTAACCTCACTGAAGCTGTGGCTTTAACATCGGGCTGTTTCCTCTACTACCTTTTGACCTGTTTCTAAGATGGACACTAATTCTCACATACAGTTATTTGGATACACCTAAGAAACCTGTACAATGAGTTTAAGCCTTTATAACATACTGCAGTGCTTTGGTATGTAAGTACATTTGTAATGACAACATAATACATGTACTGTAAGTGTTTTTTTTTACAGAGCACTGCTTACAGAAATGTGATACTGTAGTGAACATTGATTATGATTTTGATCATAATGTCAATTTTAATCCAATGCTAAAGTGTGCCTTTCTGGTTACTTCGTATGGTTGTCTGTACAGAGTGCAGCTCAACCCTGAGCTGAAGATTCAGCAAAGAACAGGAAATGAGAACAGACATGCAAGATTAAGATCTTTATTATTTTTTAACAGTGTACATTTGATGTAGTCAGATTTGAAGTGTCATAATAAAATTATAACATGAAGACGTGTTTATAACATATTTGTAAAGCCAAAACAAAGAAAGTTTTCTTTTTGGAATGATTTCTAATCGAGGAATGTATTAATGAGTGCAATTTCAATTTAAATAAATAAAATACAAGCTAAATGATCTTCATTTTAAGATGAAATAACGGAATGTTCAGAAATGTCTTTTAACTGGAAGTGTCCTCAGCCTCCTCTCAGGCGCAGCATCAGGAAGATGGTGCTATGCGCTCGGACGTTGTAGTCGGAGAGTTTCCCCTCGTTCATCTCTCTGCTCTCGTGGGTGAGCCTCTGCTGGTCCACTGGGACCCGCTCTCTGGCATGCACCCTGCTCTTGAAGTGGCTCACTGTCTCATCCGGTTTGATTTCATACGTGGTGTTTACCCCCTTCTCGTTTTTGAGGAACACCTGGATTATGGCCGGTGTGGTCACCAGCAGGTTCACCCTGGCCCCGGAGTGCAGGCCGTAGGACTCGAGGGTCGCAGAGTCGTCGTTGAGAGTTGTGCTGCAGCCGTTCTCAAAGACCAGCTTCTGGGACTCACATGCAATCCCTAGTTTCTGCTGGATGAGTATTTTCAGAGAGCTCACTGTGTCATGCGGGTGCACCCTCAGGATGTGGGAGCTCCCATTCATCAGACTGATTGTTAGATCCATGATGAAAGTGGCCTGAAAGATAGGTAAATACATTTAGAGATGGAAGAAAAACTTAGAGTGTTTACTTAATTAAAAGTAGAAGTACCAGAGTGTAGGAATACTCTTTTACAAGTAAAAGTCGTGCATTCAAAATGTTACTCAAGTAAAAGTACAAAAGTATTAGCATAACAATATACTTAAAGTACCAAAAGTAAAAGTACATATTATGCAGATTGGCCTATTTCAGAAAAATACAACTTACATGTTTTTGATTATATTTTATTAATACATTAAAGTGTTATCAAAGCTGGTAAAGGTGCAGCCTATTAAATAAAAGTGAATGCTGTAGAGCAGGGGTGTCAAACTCAAGGCCCGGGGCCAAATCTGGCCCGCGACTTCATTTCATGTGGCCCGCAAGAGCTTGCAAAGAATATAATGTTTATTTTACGGTTACATAACACTTTACAGAAGCAGGTTGCCCATAAACTACATGTCCCACAATGCATCTCGTTTTGTGACATGCGCACTGAAGAGACTTGCAATTATTTGCCCTGGACTTCTGCTTTCAGACGTAGTTAATTACTAAGTTATTATCCTATCCGACAATAATCCAATTCAGAGGCAATAATGTAATATAATACATTATATATATATTATATATTTATATATGTATATTTATATAGTTACAACCGGCCCTTTGAGTGCAACCATAATGTTAATGTGGCCCGTGATGAAATTGAGTTTGACACCCCTGCTGTAGAGTAACTGGTTAATTGAATCCAGGTGTAACTAAGGTCTTACTTAAGTGTTGATTATATTTCACACCATTAATGCAAATCTGCGAGGTAACTAAATGTAATAAATAAATGCAGTGGAATAAAAGTACACTATTTACCTTGGAACTTTATTAGTAGGGCTACAAAGTAGCAAAACATGTAAATAAGTACAGTGAATATATTCTATACTTTACATCACTAAATACATTAATACAAATAAGTCCACTAGAAAAAACATGTTTTGCCCCAGAGAATAAAGTATCACGCTACATTTCATGACAGATCTGATAAAGAAAACTTCGTACCTTGAGATAAATTTAGAAAAATCCTCCAGAAATCGTCGCTCTTCTTTAGACAGTGACAGGAATCGATGCTCGGAGCAGCTGACGCAGGCTTCTTCTCTCCTCTGTTTATATACAGTCTGCCCAGCTGATCGAGCCCGCCCCCTCGTTTAAGATTCGTTTTCCCTTCCATGCCTCAATCATTTTCGGTTTCTAATCTCCAAAAATGACCTGCAGTGTTTTGGACATTGTAAAGTGCACGAGGGCGTAGTCCGGGACTTTCCCCTTGACGTAAAGTTTTTTTCTGTAATTGAATAAACTGACGACTCCTGATAAACTCAAAGTGACTCTTTAGTCTTTAGTATTGTTATTTCATAGGTTTAAACCGGGAGTGTCCAAACTACGGCCCGCGGACCATTTTGAATCGGCCCTCAGCAAATAAAAAAAAAGTATAATGGAACATGGACAAGTGGTCTTAATAACACAGTCGTATTCATGTGTTAAGACCACTTTTCAAATAAATTCAGTCAATTAAAGTTGGAAACATTTTCTAACATATCTTATTTGATAAGAAAAAAGCCCAATAACCTATTTACATAACAAGCTTGAAATACACCCTTCCTATTTCTCCTTATTAGGCAATCTGAGGCTTCTGTTTGAAGGGATGAGCTGCTAACACTCACAAGCATAATTGACCTACATTTGATTGATTTTGCTAACTTATAAGTTATAACTGAACTTATGAGGCGATATACCTCTAGTGAGTGGCCCAGCCCTTCGTATATTTTTCTGTATGTGGCCCTCGGTGAAAAAAGTTTGGACACCCCTGGTTTAAACCATAACAATAACAGTACTGAATTAAGACTAGACTGTACAGTTAACCCAAAAAGTGAACGCGATAACTGTAGGAAGTTTGTCTAAGATAAATTGCATGAAATTAAAGAAGATTATTTTGTGTAATTATTGCATCAGAGATGTATTTTTGGAAACTGTTGATAACATTTTTCTTTCTGTATGGTGTATTTGTTTTAACAATTGGAAATAATAAATAGTCTCTTCTCTTTTACTACACATTCAGGGTTTCCTTCTCCCTTACGCATTGACATTGTTCTGTTATCTCTTTGGTTTTTCTAACTTTATACTTTACTAATGCAGGACGACTGTTCAGCATAGAGGGAACGCTCTGTTCATTCAGGTCTTTACCTGGCCCTCCTCCTGTGATAATTAGTTTGTATCTTAAATAATAATACAGACTAAAACGTTTTTTTACACCATAAATTAAGGCCTCACAACCCCCCTGTAAAGCTCAGGTGACCCCCACCTGGGGATCAAGGTTCAAGGCTTAAATTTGTCATACGTACATAGCTACAGTGTAGTTATGTCGATGAAAATCTTAGGTCACAGGCTCCTCCAACAGTGCAACACAATAAAACAGAAAAAACTGAAAAAGTAGTGCAAGTAATACAAACAAAAAAAATAGGTAATAGTGCAATAAGAGTCTATATACAACAAGTGATTGGATCAGAGCCTTAAGGCACGTTTATGATTCACAGATGATATCATGCACTGACAGGTCTAGTTTTTAAAAGGAAAGGGAAAATCCTTTCATCAGATAAAATCTAAATAACACGTCAGAGTCTATTATTAGCCACACACAGTAAACCTAAAACAAACAAAACAGGACACATGACAATCATTGTCACAATGTAAGTCACAAGCCCTGTGCAACATTCCTTATCAATGTCCTCATAACACAGGTTGTCCAAACACTGCTGACTCACCATGTTAATAACATGAAACTGAAACTAAGAAGAGAAGTAACCAAACTGCAGGTGTAAATGAAACTGAACAATAACAATAACACAATCTTAATGCAGTACTTTAAGGTTTTTATTTAACTTCCAAAATGTACTATTTGTAATAAATATCATAACTCTGAGTGTTTCAGTATGGTGGCCCTTTCCTCCCTCGTTGGTAGAGGAATATTTCCTGTGGTGAAAAAAATAAATGTCAGTTAAGTATATTTACAATTACAATCAAACAGGATGAAAACTATACATCATCCTTTAGTTTAAATTAATGTACAGAGCATATAGAGAATAACTAAACGGATTGATTACAAAACGCTCAGGGTATGATGCCTACAGTATTAACAGTATGAACAGTGTGAAATGAATACACCAAGATATACAGGATAAAAAAAGAGGGACAGTTGCCAACATACAAACTGTAGATAGAAGCACAGGTATAGACGTTAAGATGTGAATACACAGGGAGATGTATACACTGAGGGCTAGAGCAGAACAATATAGAAAAAAATGTCATTGCGTTTAATTTGACTCTCATTGCAATTGTGATATATCTCACTATGTTGGAGGGAATGGTGATTATTGCATCATTAATCTTATTTTCATTGAATAATATATGAAATTGATCATGCTGATTTCTTTTGCGAGGATCTGTACCTAACTAAGATTTCTTAAGTCTTTAGAATCTGGTTTGTGAATCACAACACTGCCTATTAGAAAATGGTATCTTTACACACATTTAACCTCATCAAATATTGTGCCTTGTGCGATTTGGATATTGCACTAGTCCATATTAATATTTGGAAAAAACTCTGAATTGCTATTCAGCCATAGAGAAGCCAGTAGTACAAATATATGGGAAGAGCATATAGTGCAGGCAAGTGTAGAGAGGCAGAAGTACATCAGCAACCAATGAGGCCTTGTTCAATTTCATTCCCATATACCATATTATTTAAAACCAATGATACAATCCGCTCTAATGTTTAAAAATACATGTATTCAGGTTTATTCTCACCTGGTGGTGCCACAAAATATTCCTCAACGGTGTGTTTGGAGAGCTGAAGCAGTTCTTGAGCACAGTCCCCTTCTGTCACTGCATCCTCCCTAAGGTTTAATGACCTGAATGAGCATGGATGAGACATAACAATATTTATGCAATCGGCTCAGTTTAAAACTGTGCTGCAGTTGGGGCTCATTTGATATAGCAGGGATGAGGAGGCCAATATACAAATACACTGTTTTCATAACTGGTTGAACCTTACCTGTCCTCCAGAACTGAATCCATTGGTTCCACCCCTGAAGTGTCAACAGCATGAAGCTGATCTGCAAATCTGATGGCTTCCTCCAAACAGGCCAGTCCCTGTTTGGTGCGGAAATCCACCAGCGCCAGTCGCTCCAGTTGGTCCACCAGGTTGGCAGTGATATGCATAGGCTGTCAATTAAAAGTGTGTTGCGTAAGAAATGTATGCATGACACATTCTTTCCCGAACATTTTAAGAATGTCTTTAACTGTTAGTAACCATTGAATAAAGTAATTGCCTCCATTAATCATTTCTAATCAGCACACACTGCGATGACTAAAGCCCAATAACTGCACCTCTGTTAATCTCTGAAGTTTTGTAATGCTGACAATATTGTGAGATTTTGTCCCTCAAAACTAAAGCCACACCTAAATATTATTTTCATAATCAATTAATCCACTGATTATCTTGTAGATTTATTATGTTCTCTGTAGAATGTCAGAGCTCACCTTTAGGACATCTTCTGTCTCAGATTTTGGAGGCAAGAAAAAAGATCAAGAGTGGAGCCCCGGTCGGTGAGATCGACCCGGCTGCGACTGCACGATATGCAACCTTTGGGTGAGACCTTATATGGAAACAAAATTGAGGGTTGATGTGCTAAATAACAGGAAAATACATGTAATGGTTTGTGATTGTGAGCTAAAATGCATCACCAATTGTTGGAAAATTACCTGTCTATGTTCCTATGTATTTCAGGTTTCTTATCACAGGACCAGTGAGCCATATCTTCTACCAGCTGATGGAGGTGTGGATGCCCACAACAGACCCACTCTGCATAGTCAAACGTCTGCTACTGGATCGGCTTATTTTTGCCCCTGGCTTTCTGCTGATTTTCTACTTTGTTATGAACATCCTGGAGGTAGGTCATCTCAGAAACTGTCCCCCTTACCCTCAGATTAAAGGAGCTCTGTAGTGATTTGAGATTGCATTAAATTGTGGGAACTACAAAATTGCAGCAGCAGAGGGAGCAATTGGTTTTAGTATGGTTGAAGGAAAAGAATTAAGGATACACTTCCTGTCATGCAACATGAAAGCATATTTTCAATAACCCAGTTAGTCACAACAGTTTTTTTGTTCAAATGTGTTTGCATTATACAGGTTTAATAGAACTTCCTATTAAAGGTCTTTACAGTTTTAAAAAGCCCCTGAAATGACCTTCCTAGATCCACATGAAACCCGTCTTTTATTGAAAACCTGTGCTCCAGACTCATGCAGAACTGACATTGAACCCACCTGTTCTTCTCTTGCTAAATTTGATAAAACATGGCCAAACCGATCATTATCTCAGATACAATTATATTTATTAGTGAACAGATTTGTGAATACTTGATTTTGATTGTCAACTGCATTCTTCTGTCTGTTTTTCTATACAACAGACCTCTGCTATGCAAAAAAGATCATTGCTATGCTCGCAGTTCTCTTTCCCATTACTAATCTGATATCTTAAAATGGCAAACTGCCCCTTTTAACATATGATTAAAACACTCATGCAATGCTTCATCCTACATTTTGACCACAGTATTTGTTCCAGTGTCTTCACGTTAATTGTGTAGTAAACACATGCTATATAGTTTTCATATAGACAAATGAAAAATAAATTAAATGACCATCCCATCTTTTTCCCAGGCAAAAGGATGGAGAGACTTTGAAAGCAAGATGAGAGGAAGTTACTGGACTGCCTTGAAAATGAACTGGAAAGTGTGGACTCCCTTTCAGTTCGTCAATATCAACTTTGTGCCTTATCGAGGTATGCCCTTCATTCATTGGCATCCTGTCATCAAACAAAAGATGATTCATTTGTAATGGTTTCCCCCTTCCATTCCTGTCTCTGTTTTTGCTTTCAGTTCCGAGTGCTGTTTGTCAACATGGTCGCCTTATTTTGGTACGCCTACCTTGCATCTGTGAGGAAATAAAGCTTCCGACCTAACCTCACTGAACCGGAAGCTGTGTTTTTAACATCGGGCTGTTTCCTCTACTACCTTTTGACCTGTTTCTAAAATGGACACTAATTCTCACATACAGTTATTTGGATAAACCTAAGAAACCTGTACATACTTCGTATGGTTGTGGTCTGTACAGAGTGCAGCTCAACCCTGAGCTGAAGATTCAGCAAAGAACAGGAAATGAGAACAGACATGCAAAATTAAGATCTTTATTATTTTTTAACAGTGTACATTTGATGTAGTCAGATTTGAAGTGTCATGATAAAATTATAACATGAAGACGTGTTTATAACATATTTGTAAAGCCAAAACAAAGAAAGTTTTCTTTTTGGAATGATTTCTAATCGAGGAATGTATTAATGAGTGCAATTTAAATTTAAATAAATAAAAATATAAGCTAAATGATCTTCATTTTAAGATGAAATAAAGGAATGTTCAGAAGTTTCTTTTAACTGGAAGTGTCCTCAGCCTCCTCGCAGGCGAAGGCTCAGGGAGATGTTGCTATGCGCTCGGACGTTGTAGTCGGAGAGTTTCCCCTCGTTCATCTCTCTGCTCTCGTGGGTGAGCCTCTGCTGGTCCACCGGGACCCGCTCTCTGGCATGCACCCTGCTCTTGAAGTGGTTCACCGTCTCATCCGGTTTGATGTCATACGTGGAGCTTACCCCCTTCACGTTTTTCAGGAACACCTGGATTATGGCTGGTGTGGTCACCAGCAGGGTCACCCTGGCCCCGGAGTGCAGGCCGTAGGACTCGAGGGTCGCAGAGTCGTCTTCGAGAGTTGTGCTGCAGCCGTTCACAAAGACCAGCTTCTGGGACTCGCATGCAATCCCTAGTTTCTGCTGGATGAGTATTTTCAGAGAGCTCACTGTGTCATGCGGGTTCACCCTCAGGGTGTGGGAGCTCCCCACCAGAGTGATGATTAGATCCATGATGAACGTGGCCTGAAAGATAGGTAAATACATTCAGAGGTGGAAGAAAAACTAAGAGTGTGTACTTAATTAAAAGTAGAAGTACCAGAGGGTAGGAATACTTTTTTAAAAGTAAAAGTCCTGCATTCAAAACGTTACGCAAATAAAAGTACAAAGTATTAGCATAACAATATACTTAAAGTATCAAAAGTAAAAGTACTCATTATGCAGATTGGCCTTCAGAATAATATAAGTTACATGTTTTGATTATATTTTATTGATACATTAAAGTGTTATCAAGCTGGTAAAGGTTCAGCCTATTAAACAAAAGTGAATACTGCAGTGTAGGGTAACTGGTTAATTTAATCCAGGTGTAACTAAAGTCTTATTTAAAGGGCCCATGTCATGCTTTTCTGGTGATTACCCGTCCCCTTGTGTGTTATGAAGGTTTTTATGCATGTGAACGGTCTGCAGAGTCAAAAACCCTCAAAGTACACCCTGTAGCGAGTAAAACTCTAACACAGAAAAGACCTGTCTATGCTGCCCCAGAACGCCTCGTTGGAGATTTCTCTTTTTCCATTGTTTTCTTCCTGGGTACAGTGACGTGACCATACCAAAATGGACCCATTGGTCCAAATGGACCAATCCGTGGAGCTCCTCACACACACACACACACACTCTCTCAGCGGCGAAACTGTGACGCGCTGGGGGGGGGGGGAGTGCTAGTGGAGCCTCACAGCGGCGAAACTGTGGCGCGCTTACACTGTTGGTGCGGTGCGTTTGGGGGTGCGGGGGGGGGATGCTAGTGGAGCCTCGGACATTGCTCAACTTTTGAAGCGAGCAACGCGAGCAAAACGAAGCGACGGAACCACAATGCAGTTCGGCAAAGCGTGACGTCACCCCATTCAAGGTGATTGGGCAGAAGCGTTGAAGCTTCAAAGCACGCCACCGTGTGGACGGGCCGTAAGCCAGCTCATACTGTCCGCTCCTCGCAGCAGCGAGCCTCGCAACGTCCCGTCAACACGGCACCCAGACCCCACGCAGCATTCTCATCTGTTTGTCATTACTGGTGTCATTTTCTGGTTGCTAACAAACGCCATTGTAACACATACTGTAATCACTGATGTTCCGCTGTAACGGTGGTGGACTCATCAGAACAGAGTGGGCGAACTGACCAATCAGAGCACAGTGGGCTCACAGGGAGGGGGGGGGGGGTCAGGAGCTACAACGAGCCGTGTAGGACAGAGAGTGAATACACATACTATACAGAGATGCTGTATGAGAAACCAATGTGAGTTTGGAAAATTGCACAATATAAATCTATTCTAGTAGACCTCAACAATGGAAATATGATCAGTAGAAATGGCCATGACATGGGACCTTTAAGTGCTGATTATATTTCACACCATTAATGCAAATCTGCAAGGTAACTAAATGTAATAAATAAATGCAGTGGGGTAAAAGTACACTATTTACCTTTAAACTTTATTAGTACAATGTAGCAAAACATTTAAATAAATAACTACAAGTCCCTCATTAAAAAAAAAAAAAAGTACAGTGAATATGTTCTATACTTTACATCACTGAATACATTAATACAAATAAGTCCACTAGAAAAAACTTTTTTTCCCCCAGACAATAAAGTATCACGGTACATTTCATTACAGTGCTGATAAAGAAAACTTCATACCTTGAGATAAGTTTAGAAAAATCCTCCAGAAATCGATGCTCGGAGCAGCTGACGCAGGCTTCTTCTCTCCTCTGTTTATATACAGTCTGCCCAGCTGATCGAGCCCGCCCCCTCGCTTAAGATTAGTTTGCCTTCATCATTTTCGGTTTCTATTCTCCAAAAATGACCTGCATTGTTTTGGTCATTGTAAAGTGCACAAGGGTGTAACCTCCCTGTAAAGCTAAGGTGATCAAAGCCTTAAGGCACATGATGATTCACAGATTATATCATGCACTGACAGGTCTAGTTTTTAAAAGGAAAGGGAAAATCCTTTCATCAGATAAAATCTAAATAATACGTCAGAGTCTATTTTTAGCCACACACAGTAAACCTAAAACAAAACAAAACAAAAAGATAGAAAATATGTTTTATTACTAAAGTTAAACAACACTTGAATACAAACAGGACACATGACAATCATTGTCACAATGTAAGTCACAAGCCCTGTACAACATTCCTCATGAATTCCTCATAACACAGGTTGTCAAAACACTGCTGACTCACCATGTTGCTAACATGAAACTGAAACTAAGAAGAGAAGTAACCAAACTGCAGGTGTAAATGAAACCGAACAATAACAATAAAGCCATCTTAATGCAGTACTTTAAGGTTTTTATTTAACTTCCAAAATGTACTATTTGTAATAAATATCATAACTCTGAGTGTTTCAGTATGGTGGCCCTTTCCTCCCTCGTTGGTAGAGGAATATTTCCTGTGGTAAAAATAAAAAATGTCAGTTGAGGATATTTACAATTACAATCAAACAGGATGAAAACGATACATCATCCTTTAGTTTAAATTAATGTACAGAGCATATAGAGAATAACTAAACGGATTGATTACAAAACGCTCAGGGTATGATGCCTACAGTATTAACAGTATGAACAGTGTGAAATGAATACACAAAGATATACAGGATAAAAAAAGAGGGACAGTTGCCAACATACAAACTGTAGATAGAAGCACAGGTATAGACGTTAAGATGTGAATACACAGGGCGATGTATACACTGAGGGCTAGAGCAGAACAATATAGAACAAAATGTAATTGCGTTTAATTTTACTTTCATTGCAATTGTGATATATCTCACTATGTTGGAGGGAATGGTGATTATTGCATCATTAATCTTATTGTCATTGAATAATATATGAAGTTGATCATGCTGATTTCTTTTTTGCGAGGATCTGTACCTAACTAAGATTTCTTAAAGGTCCCCTATTATACGGTTTTTCATCAATATATTATAGGCCTCAGATATATATACAAAACATGTCTCTGAAGTGTTTGGCTCCAAATACCAAACAGATCATTGCAGCATCCCATAAACCAGACAGAGAATCAGCACTTTTGAAACACGGCTGAAACAGAGGGTTTCAGCCGTATTTCAAAAGTGCTGATTCTCTGTCTGTTACTTTAGATGAAAAATAAGGAGCCACTCCCCACGCCCCTCTGAGAGATATTTGGTTAAAAAGAACACAATGGTGCTCTGGGGAGATTCAGGTGATAAGGTGGGGGGGGGGGGTTGGTTAATGGTTACACAAGCCAAAGTCACTTTGTGACATCATAAAGTGGCCAAAATCTGATCAGCTCATTTTCAGACAGGTTTTTATATAAATGGATCAGGACAAAAAGTGAGAGAATCTTTTTTTCCTGAAACTTTCAGAATCTCTTTACACAGAGGGGACACATGTTTATGTATAAAAGACATGAAAAAGTGGATTTTGCATAATAGGTGACCTTTAAAACCAATGATTCAATCCCCTCTAATGCTTAAAAATACATGTATTCAGGTTATTTTCTCGCCTGGTGGTGCCACAAAATATTCTTCAACAGTGTGTTTAGAGAGCTGAAGCAGTTCTTCAGCACAGTCCCCTTCTGTCACTGCATCCTCCCTAAGGTTTAATGACCTGAATGAGCATGGATGAGACATAACAATATTCATGCAATCGGCTCAGTTTAAAACTGTGCTACAGTTGGGGCTCATTTGATATAGCTGGGATGAGGAGGCCAATATACAAATACACTGTTTTCATAACTGGTTGAACCTTACCTGTCCTCCAGAACTGACTCCATTGGTTCCACCCCTGAAGTGTCAACAGCATGAAGCTGATCTGCAAATCTGATGGCTTCCTCCAAACAGGCCAGTCCCTGTTTGGTGCGGAAATCCACCAACGCCAGTCGCTCCAGTTGGTCCACCAGGTTGGCAGGGATATGCATAGGCTGTCAATTAAAAGTGTGTTGCGTAAGAAATGTATGCATGACACATTCTTTCCACAACATTTTAAGAATGTCTTTAACTGTTAGTAACCATTGAATAAAGTAATTGCCTCCATTAATCATTTCTAATCAGCACACACTGCCATGACTCAAGCCCAATAACTCCACCTCTGGTAATCTCTGAAGTTTTGTAATGCTGACAATATTGTGAGATTTTGTCCCTCAAAACTAAAGCCACACCTAAATATTATTTTCATAATCAATTAATCTACTGATTATCTTGTAGATCAGCTTCAGGAAATCTTCTGTCTCAGATTTTGGAGGCAAGAAAAAAGATCAAGAGTGGAGCCCCGGTCGGTGAGATCAACCCGGCTGCAGCTGCTCGATATGCAACCTTTGGGTGAGACCTTATATGGAAACAAAATTGAGGGTTGATGTGCTAAATAACAGGAAAATACATGTAATGGTTTGTGATTGTGAGCTAAAATGCATCAACAATTGTGGGAAAATTACCTGTCCTCTATGTTCCTGTGTATTTCAGGTTTTTTATCACATGTCCAGTGAGCCATATCTTCTACCAGCTGATGGAGGTGTGGATGCCCACAACAGACCCGCTCTGCATAGTCAAACGTCTGCTACTGGATCGGCTTATTTTTGCCCCGGGCTTTCTGCTGATGTTCTACTTGGTTATGAACATCCTGGAGGTAGGTCATCTCAGAAACTGTCCCCCTTACCATCAGATTAAAGGAGCTCTGCAGTGATTTGAGATGCTCCGGCATTACGTTGTGGGAACTACACAATTGCAGCAGCAGAGGGAGCAATTGGTTTTAGTATGGTTGAAGTAAGAAAATGGAGGATACACTTCCTGTCATGCAACATGAAAGCATATTTTCAATAGCCCAGTTAGTCACAACAGTTTTTTTGATCAAATGTGTTTGCATTATACAGGTTTAATAGAACTTCCTATTAAAGGTCTTTACAGTTTTAAAAAGCCCCTGAAATGACCTTCCTAGATCCGCATGAAACCCGTCTTTTATTGAAAACCTGTGCTCCAGACTCATGCAGAACTGACATTGAACCCACCTGTTCTTCTCTTGCTAAATTTGATAAAACATGGCCAAACCGATCATTATCTCAGATAAAATTATATTTATTAGTGAACAGATTTGTGAATACTTGATTCTGATTGTCAACTGCATTCTTCTGTCTGTTTTTCGATATAACAGACCTCTGCTATGCAAAAAAGATCATTGCTATGCTCGCAGTTCTCTTTCCCATTACTAATCTGATATCTTAAAATGGCAGACTGCCCCTTTTCAACATATGATTAAAACACTCATGCAATGCTTCAACCTACATTTTGACCACAGTATTTGTTCCAGTGTCTTCATGTTAATTGTGTAGTAAACACATGCTATATAGTTTTCATATAGACAAATGAAAAATAAATTAAATGACCATCCCATCTTTTTCCCAGGCAAAAGGATGGAGAGACTTTGAAAGCAAGATGAGAGGAAGTTACTGGACTGCCTTGAAAATGAACTGGAAAGTGTGGACTCCCTTTCAGTTCGTCAATATCAACTTTGTGCCTGTCGAGGTATGCCCTTCATTCATTGGCATCCTGTCATCAAACAAAAGATGAATCACTTGTAATGGTTTCCCCCTTCCCTTCCTGTGTCTGTTTTTGCTTTCAGTTCCGAGTGCTGTTTGCCAACATGGTCGCCTTATTTTGGTACGCCTACCTTGCATCTGTGAGGAAATAAAGCTTCCCGACCTAACCTCACTGAACCGGAAGCTGTGGCTTTAACATCGGCTGTTTCCTCTACTACCTTTTTACCTGTTTCTAAGATGGACACTAATTCTCACATACAGTTATTTGGATAAACCTAAGAAACCTGTACAATGAGTTTAAGCCTTTATAACATACTGCTTTGGTATGTTAGTACATTTGTAATGACAACATAATACATGTAAGTGTTTATTTTACAGAGCACTGCTTACAGAAATGTGATACTGTAGTGAACATCGATTATGATTTTGATCATGTCAATTTTAATCCAATGCTAAAGTGTGCCTTTCTGGTTACTTCGTATGGTTGTGGTCTGTACAGAGTGCAGCTCAACCCTGAGCTGAAGATTCAGCAAAGAACAGGAAATGAGAACAGACATGCAAAATTAAGATCTTTATTACTTTTTAACAGTGTTGATGTAGTCAGATTTGAAGTGTCATAATAAAATTATAACATGAAGACGTGTTTATAACATATTTGTAAAGCCAAAACAAAGAAAGTTTTCTTTTTGGAATGATTTCTAATCAAGGAATGTATTAATGAGAGCAATTTAAATTTAAATAAATAAAATACAAGCTAAATGATCTTCATTTTAAGATGAAATAAAGGAATGTTCAGAAATGTCTTTTAACTGGAAGTGTCCACAGCCTCCTCTCAGGCGCAGCATCAGGAAGATGGTGCTATGCGCTCGGACGTTGTAGTCGGAGAGTTTCCCCTCGTTCATCTCTCTGCTCTCGTGGGTGAGCCTCTGCTGGTCCACCGGGACCCGCTCTCTGGCATGCACCCTGCTCTTGAAGTGGCTCACCGTCTCATCCGGTTTGATTTCATACGTGGTGTTTACCCCCTTCTCGTTTTTGAGGAACACCTGGATTATGGCCGGTGTGATCACCAGCAGGTTCACCCTGGCCCCGGAGTGCAGGCCGTAGGACTCGAGGGTCGCAGACTCGTTGTTGAGAGTTGTGCTGCAGCCGTTCTCAAAGACCAGCTTCTGGGTCTCACATGAAAACCCTAGTTTCTGCTGGATGAGTATTTTCAGAGAGCTCACTGTGTCATGCGGGTGCACCCTCAGGATGTGGGAGCTCCCATTCATCAGACTGATGGTTAGATCCATGATGAAAGTGGCCTGAAAGATAGGTAAATACATTTAGAGGTGGAAGAAAAACTTAGAGTGTTTACTTAATTAAAAGTAGAAGTACCAGAGTGTAGGAATACTCTTTTACAAGTAAAAGTCGTGCATTCAAAATGTTACTTAAGTAAAAGTACAAAAGTATTAGCATAACAATATACTTAAAGTACCAAAAGTAAAAGTACATATTATGCAGATTGGCCTATTTTGAAATTGACGCATCTCAGAAAAATACAAGTTACATGTTTTTGATTATATTTTATTAATACATTAAAGTGTTATCAAAGCTGGTAAAGGTGCAGCCTATTAAATAAAAGTGAATACTGTAGGGTAACTGGTTAATTGAATCCAGGTGTAACTAAGGTCTTATTTAAGTGTTATATTTCACACCATTAATGCAAATCTGCGAGGTAACTAAATGTAATAAATAAATGCAGTGGAATAAAAGTACACTATTTACCTTTGAACTTTAATAGTACAAAGTAGCAAAACATGTAAATAAATAACTACAAGTCCCTCATTAAAAAAAATAAAAAGTACAGTGAATATATTCTATACTTTACATCACTAAATACATTAATACAAATAAGTCCACTAGAAAAAACATGTTTTGCCCCAGAGAATAAAGTATCACGGTACATTTCATGACAGATCTGATAAAGAAAACTTCGTACCTTGAGATAAGTTTAGAAAAATCCTCCAGAGATCGTCGCTCTTCTTGAGACAGTGACAGGAATCGATGCTCGGAGCAGCTGACGCAGGCTTCTTCTCTCCTCTGTTTATATACAGTCTGCCCAGCTGATCGAGCCCGCCCCCTCGTTTAAGATTCGTTTTCCCTTCCATGCCTCAATCATTTTCGGTTTCTAATCTCCAAAAATGACCTGCAGTGTTTTGGACATTGTAAAGTGCACGAGGGCGTAGTCCGGGACTTTCCCCTTGACGTAAAGTTTTTTTCTGTAATTGAATAAACTGACGACTCCTGATAAACTCAAAGTGACTCTTTAGTATTGTTATTTCATAGGTTTAAACCGGGGGTGTCCAAACTACGGCCCGCGGACCATTTTGAATCGGCCCTCAGCAAATAAAAAAAAAGTATAATGGAACATGGACAAGTGGTCTTATTAACACAGTAGTGTGTATTCATGTGTTAATAAGACCACTTTTCAAATAAATTCAGTCAATTAAAGTTGGAAACATTTTCTAACATATCTTATTTGATAAGAAAAAAGCCCAATAACTTATTTACATAACAAGCTTGAAATACACCCTTCCTATTTCTCCTTATTATAATCAATCTGAGGCTTCTGTTTGAAGGGATGAGCTGCTAACACTCACAAGCATCATTGACCTACATTTGATTGATTTTGCTAACTTATAAGTTATAACTGAACTTATGAGGCGATATACCTCTAGTGAGTGGCCCAGCCCTTCGTATATTTTTCTGTATGTGGCCCTCGGTGAACAAAGTTTGGACACCCCTGGTTTAAACCATAACAATAACAGTACTGAACTAAGAAGAGACTGTACAGTTAACCCAAAAAGTGAACGCGATAACTGTAGGAAGTTTGTCTAAGATAAATTGCATGAAATTAAATCAGATTATTTTGTGTAATTATTGCATCAGAGATGTATTTTTGGAAACTGTTGATAACATTTTTCTTTCTGTATGGTGTATTTGTTTTAACAATTGGAAATAATAAATAGTCTCTTGTCTTTTACTACACATTCAGGGTTTCCTTCTCCCTTACGCTTTGACATTGTTCTGTTAATTAAGCCCGAGAGACCCCGGTACCGGGGCACTGCCGCAACATCTTGCAGGAAACAGTGTCTGAGGGCATGTTCATTTAATAAAAATTGTTTTATATGCATGTAACAGGAAGAAACTCATCTAACTGATATATATTTTTTTTTCAAAAGAAAACCCACAATGCTAACACTGAGCCTCTGAATTAGCAACGAGCGAAAAATACTAACACTTTACTGCACCGAAAATCACTCACAAAACCTTATTATTTATCTTTTCACCACATCCAACACATCAATTCACATCGTGAGGTGACACAGAATCTATTGACACTAAAAATGCTAACATTTTTACCTTGGCTCTGTAGTCTCTCCAAAGTGGTCTTCAATGGCATTAAAACGATAAAAACGCTGCTGAAGTTAATCCATAGGTTAATCCAATGTGTCTGTGTCCCTTTGAAATTATTTCTGATAATCCATAAGCATTAAAACTGCTTTTCCGTTTCCAGATGTCAAAGCTAGAGATAGGTTCACTGATTGAAAATTACATGCGCGAAGCCCCCACCTTTTCTCTTCACAACGTGTGTGTGAGACTCCCCCTTCGATTATATTGGCTCTAACGGTCAGAAAGAGGTGTCAACCATCAAAATCGAGCAAGAGGGGCCAGAGATATGGAAAATCCCCCCAAATGACCCCAGAAGTGGTTTCTTTTTGCTAAATCTCTCTAAAAAGGTCAAATGTCACTTGTTTTGCATCAATCTTGATACAGGGTACTTATTATATGTTGTACTTTGGATTCCTAAAGCTTTTAGTCTACTAACCCATCATCCAAGGGTGGTTTTCACTATAAGTAAAAAAATAATTTTTGGACGGACACTATAATTTACAGTTTTTTTACTATGTAAAATCTGAATTTTCTTTAAAATAAAAAACATCTATATTGATTCTGACTTTCCTACATCCAACTCACAGGTTTATCATTACTTTGAGAAAAAAGATTATTAATTTAACCCTTTTAGAAGGGAAGATATGGTCATTTGTTCTGGGAATATCATTTTCGAGCCTGAGACCTGAAAAACAGGCTCAGGGCTTAACAGGTTAACTCTTTGGTTTTTCTAACTTTATACTTTACTAATGCAGGACGACTGTTCAGCATAGAGGGAACGCTCTGTTCATTCAGGTCTTTACCTGGCCCTCCTCCTGTGATAATTAGTTTGTATCTTAAATAATAATACAGACTAAAACGTTTTTTTACACCATAAATTAAGGCCTCACAACCCCCCTGTAAAGCTCAGGTGACCCCCACCTGGGGATCAAGGTTCAAGGCTTAAATTTGTCATACGTACATAGCTACAGTGTAGTTATGCCGATGAAAATCTTAGGTCACAGGCTCCTCCAACAGTGCAACACAATAAAACTGAAAAAACTGAAAAAGTAGTGCAAGTAATACAAACAAAAAAAATAGGTAATAGTGCAATAAGAGTCTATATACAACAAGTGATTGGATCAGAGCTTTAAGGCACGTTTATGATTCACAGATTATATCATGCACTGACAGGTCTAGTTTTTAAAAGGAAAGGGAAAATCCTTTCATCAGATAAAATCTAAATAACACGTCAGAGTCTATTATTAGCCACACACAGTAAACCTAAAACAAACAAAACAGGACACATGACAATCATTGTCACAATGTAAGTCACAAGCCCTGTGCAACATTCCTTATGAATTCCTCATAACACAGGTTGTCCAAACACTGCTGACTCACCATGTTAATAACATGAAACTGAAACTAAGAAGAGAAGTAACCAAACTGCAGGTGTAAATGAAACTGAACAATAACAATAACACAATCTTAATGCAGTACTTTAAGGTTTTTATTTAACTTCCAAAATGTACTATTTGTAATAAATATCATAACTCTGAGTGTTTCAGTATGGTGGCCCTTTCCTCCCTCGTTGGTAGAGGAATATTTCCTGTGGTGAAAAAAATAAATGTCAGTTAAGGATATTTACAATTACAATCAAACAGGATGAAAACGATACATCATCCTTTAGTTTAAATTAATGTACAGAGCATATAGAGAATAACTAAACGGATTGATTACAAAACGCTCAGGGTATGATGCCTACAGTATTAACAGTATGAACAGTGTGAAATGAATACACAAAGATATACAGGATAAAAAAAGAGGGACAGTTGCCAGCATACAAACTGTAGATAGAAGCACAGGTATAGACGTTAAGATGTGAATACACAGGGAGATTTATACACTGAGGGCTAGAGCAGAACAATATAGAAAAAAATGTCATTGCGTTTAATTTGACTTTCATTGCAATTGTGATATATCTCAGTATGTTGGAGGGAATGGTGATTATTGCATCATTAATCTTATTTTCATTGAATAATATATGAAATTGATCATGCTGATTTCTTTTGCGAGGATCTGTACCTAACTAAGATTTCTTAAGTCTTTAGAATCTGGTTTGTGAATCACAACACTGCCTAATAGAAAATGGTATCTTTACACACATTTAACCTCATCAAATATTGTGCCTTGTGCGATTTGGATATTGCACAAGTCCATATTAATATTTGGAAAAAACTCTGAATTGCTATTCAGCCATAGAGAAGCCAGTGTATGGGAAGAGCATATAGTGCAGGCAAGTGTAGAGAGGCAGAAGTACATCAGCAACCAATGAGGCCTTGTTCAATTTCATTCCCATATACTCTTAATTATTTAAAACCAATTATACAATCCGCTCTAATGTTTAAAAATACATGTATTCAGGTTTATTCTCACCTGGTGGTGCCACAAAATATTCTTCAACGGTGTGTTTGGAGAGCTGAAGCAGTTCTTCAGCACAGTCCCCTTCCGTCACTGCATCCTCCCTAAGGTTTAATGACCTGAATGGATGAAACAATATTTATGCAATAGGCTCAGTTTAAAACTGTGCTGCAGTTGGGGCTCATTTGATATAGCAGGGATGAGGAGGCCAACATACAAATACACTTGTTTTCATAACTGGTTGAACCTTACCTGTCCTCCAGAACTGAATCCATTGGTTCCACCCCTGAAGTGTCAACAGCATGAAGCTGATCTGCAAATCTGATGGCTTCCTCCAAACAGGCCAGTCCCTGTTTGGTGCGGAAATCAACCAACGCCAGTCGCTCCAGTTGGTCCACCAGGTCGGCAGGGATATGCATAGGCTGTCAATTAAAAGTGTGTTGCGTAAGAAATGTATGCATGACACATTCTTTCCACAATCTTTTAAGAATGTCTTTAACTGTTAGTAACCATTGAATAAAGTAATTGCCTCCATTAATCATTTCTAATCAGCACACACTGCCATGACTCATGCCCAATAACTCCACCTTTGGTAATCTCTGAAGTTTTGTAATGTTGACAATATTGTGAGATGTTGTCCCTCAAAACTAAAGCCACACCTACATTTTATTTTCATAATCAATGAATCTACTTATTATCTTGTGGATTTATTCCTTTCTCTGTAAAATGTCAGATAATAAGAAAATATATCTATCCCAGTTTTTTAAAGCCTAAATTGGTGTCTTTAAATGTCTGGTTTTGTCAGTCCCAAAACAAAAGATGTGCAGTTTAATATTAACATATTTTATTATTTAATATCAAACAGATAAAAGTAGGCAATCTACATAATTCAGAGGCTTAAAAAACAGCATTTTGTATCTGTTTGTCTGCTACAGAAAATACTTTAAAGTAGTAGATTATTTTTTTTTGGTCAATTTACTCATTATTGAAGCTCTACTCAAAATAACCCACCTCCCTTCAAAAAAAAGTAAATTACATTCTTTATCAAAAGATAATTGTGGAGATATCAACCGGTGAAATCCATTTGATATTTCAAACCTTTAACCCATGATAACAACAGATACACCTTTTTTTATAACTTGTTGTCTGCAACAAGAACTGGGGGTTTAGTCCCTCATCGAATATATTTGAGAATAACAATTGTTTAAGACAAGGCTTTAACTAAATACCTACAATATAACATGCATTTCAGAGCATTAGTTCACACAGCATGTCTTTATGCTAATAATGTATCTTGTTCAACTAGACATGAGGACCCTACCGGGGGAAGTTGGTCCTCTGGTACTGGTTCCCATGTTGCAGCCTCTGGTACCTAGAAGAGACACCCAGGTTACAGTTTCAAGTCTTTTATTGTCATGTGTGCATAGCTACAGTGTAGTTATGACAATGGAAATCTTAGGTCACAGGCTCCTCCAACGGTGCAACACAATATAACAGATACAATAGTACAATACAACAGATAAAATAGTGCTTTTAAAGCTGCAAAGTAATTGTTTAGCATTGGGTGTTGATTGCACAGACTGCAAGTCAAATCAAAATCATTGACATTTTATTTTACCTTGGAGTTAAGTGGTCGAGAGCTCAACAGTCGCGTTACATGTGTGTTGTGGCTCTGCATGAAGATGTTCCTTCTTCTGTGGAAGATCTCCTCGTTTGTTATTGAGTATCCATCGTTAGCTAACAGGTTACATGATTTAAGTGACACGCCACGACAGGAGCGTTTCACAGCGAGACTTACCACCGACATGTTCCGGATAATAAGGTAGTGAGATATGCCCGAGAAGTATATAAAAGTTGTCACATTGTTTGAGTAATAAATAACTAAACAGGAAGGTCAGTACTGAGGTCTAAACTAGCACATGTAGCTAACGACCTGCTGTGGCTAACGTTAGCTCATGGGAAGGATGTTGTGGGACTAGAGGAAACGAGAGGGTACTTCCACTTCCTTCTTTCTTTTGGATTATATAGCCCAAACAAAAACAGACTGCAATAAAGTGTCGGCGTCCTAAATGTTAAATAATGTTGTTATATTCATTTCACCCTTAACAGTGACTCGTGTAAAGTACAACACATCAGAACTATACTGATAGATTTATAAACCGACGCTTCATAGCCTATATGAGTTGTCGTTGTTGACACATCCGTACTATTGTAAAAACGTCATATTAATAATTTACATTACAGTTTATCATTTGAAATTTTAAGTAATAATTAAATGGAGATATAACTCTGATGACAGACAACGCTTAGCGAAAATATTTGTATATTGACACATTTATATAGGAATTTGCCATTCGTTAGCTTCTGAGCGCCCGGATAGCTCAGTCGGTAGAGCATCAGACTTTTAATCTGAGGGTCTAGGGTTCAAGTCCCTATTCGGGCGGAAGATTTTTAATTTCTGATCCACAGCACACAGGCATACTTGGAATCATTTCCAGCCCGGTCATTATTTAAGCAGCAGGGTTCCCTCAGCAAGTATTATAATAACTGATAATAGATGATGCGCGTATTGATGCAACTCCACCTCCCCCGTTTATGATGTTTAATCGTATCAACTGAGCCAAAGTGTTTTTTATATTGAATGTATTTAAGAAAATATATAACAGCAATAACAAACTTTACATACTGTATTAACATGTAAGTATATTCATTTCGCTTTGTTTTTCTGTGGTATATATTTGTTTAGGAGAATTGAGCTGAGATAAAGTGGGGAATAGGTTGTATATTTTGTAATGAATTTGTTCTATATTTGTACTGCAGGGGACTACTTTTGACTTGTTGCTATCATATAAATTAACAAAGAAACACATTAAACTAGACCCGGTGAGAGTGTATGTTTCTTATACTGTATATCTTTGATCTGAGGGTCCAGCCAATGTCTGTTTTGATTTTTTTTAGCCATGACAGCTGCCTTAAGCACTTCAGCCAATGTCCCCCTATAGGTCGAATAAAACACACTACAAGATGTTTTGGAAAAATAGTTATGATTCCATTTTTATTGTTTTATTATAAGAACATATACCATTTAATATATATATATATATATATATATATATAGGAACTCTTAGTATATAATTTGATTGTTTTTCAATACACATTTAGAACTGGCCACAAAATAAAAATATCAGCTTTAACAACAAAGCAGCATCTGAATGAGAAAACAAATAAATAAATAATGATTTACTTAATTCATGTTACAATAAAGGTTATCTGACAGCAGTTAGCGTTCACAAACAAACACCTATTTTAAAAGCAGTTCATCTCACCATATTCATGAAACAACACCCGAAGAGCAACAGAGTGATGTTCTAGGCCAGTGGTTCTCAACTGGTGGGTCGCGACCCAAAAGTGGGTCGCGGACCCGTTTCGAGTGGGTCGCGGATGTGTGAGTGAAGAAAAAAAAGTTGAAAAAAAAAAAAAAACATTTTTTTTTTTTTGGGGAAAAACTCAAACTTTTATTTTGAAGGCCCGATTTTCTTCTCAGAGTGTACCAGAATGCGTAGTTTATGTTAGTATTTCTAAAAATCTCCTGGGGGAGAATCCCCCAGACCCCCCTGCTGGGGTTGGGTTTCAGCATGTGTGCCTATTTATATAGTTCAGCTTTGATTCCATCATCTCATTAAACCTTTTTTTAAAGCATACTTTAGTTCTGTGAAGGGATATAAGGGATATATGCACTGTACTTCACTTTTATTAATATTGTATGCTCAAAAGCGTATATATTACAGCACGATTTTTTGTTGAATAGATTTGAGTGCTTCAAAATGTTGGGTCGCGATGTATTGACCAAGTAAAAAGTGGGTCCCGAGGCCTGACCAGTTGAGAACCACTGTTCTAGGCAATGAATGTTGGTATTTGAGACCAATATTAGTATTAATTTCGGAGGTAAAAGCATATATATGTTGTTTTCACAAGACCCAAATCTGCCAAAACATCAATACCATTTCACGCAACTTAATCTGTACTTTAAATGTTCATCTCTGTCTAATCTGTCTCACACTAAATAATCTGATTAACGTTGCACAGCAAAACTTTTCATTTGGTAACTGTGACTAAATATTTAATCGTCTCATCATATCGTCCCAATTCATGATCATATTCAAGCTGAGGCTAACATTCAAAGAACAGGTGACAGACAACACAAGACAAAAATCAAGGTGAGTAAACGGCACAATTTACAAAATAAAAAATGGTTCACTGGATAATAAAAAATAACGTAAGAGGCTAACAAATCAGGCTTGTTGCTTTATATAAATCTCTGCCCAGACATCCATAGGTCACTTAAATATTAGGTTATGCTTTGACATAATACAATCCTCATAATTAAAACACACTTTTCTCTCATTACAGTACAATTCACACTTAACAAATAAAGACAATATTTGGCAGACGAGGCAGTTCAACGAAAACATTAAAAATACTGTTGGAAGCTAACTCACTGACATGGTGCTAAAAGCTAAATGATACATACATAATGCTGTAACACAACTGGAGTTTAATAAGTAACATGTTGGACTAAAAGCCAGTCATTTACTTTTGGGTTGTTGATTTAAATAAAATTAAAAGTCTGCTGACATTCTTCATTCATTAAGGGACAGGTATATGGAGGTTACTTACTGATAGGCTTGATTTTGTAGACTTTGACTATTAAAATATCTATCATAATCTGTTATAACAATGCTTTAATCTCACAAATATACTCTCTGGTGGAATTCAGCTCTGTGTTTTTGGTTTGAAAGGTGGAACTTAAACCATAATTATCTCAAAATATTAAGTGCACTCTGATTAACATTGACACTTAAGGTATTTCTGACAAAAATATTTTTAAATAAAAAAAATGCTTTTTCAAATACATCTGTTTTCACTGACAAATATGTAGCATCATTTACAGATACAGCTGTTGACAACACAAACAACATTGTGGATACAGTCAAAAAGGCTCATAGCAGCATACCGTGATTGTAAAGGCTTAGTGTGTGTGTGTGTGTGTGTGTGTGTGTGTGTGTGTGTGTGTGTGTGTGTGTGTGTGTGTGTGTGTGTGTGTGTGTGTGTGTGTGTGTCGGTGTGTGTGTGTGTGTGTCGGTGTCGGTGTCGGTGTGTGTCGGTGTGTGTGTGTGTGTGTGTGTGTGTGTGTGTGTGTGTGTGTGTGTGTGTTCTCAGATGTGTTTTCTTCTTGTGCTGCTACAGCCGTTCACACTTTACTTGGAAGGAAAAAGAAGACAGAGAACCCAATCACTTGTTCTCTATCAGAATCTGCACCTTGCACACCAGGTCTCTGGCCATGGTCAAAATCTGCTTCGTGTTGTGGTGCTCAGCCATTTCTGAAAGACAAAGAAACATGATTCATGTATTGTTTGAAAACCAGAAGAAGGATACTTATGGAAATGCATTTTCTTAAATGTCTGGGGAACAACAGGTGTGTCACAGCTAGTTTGTAAATAATTTCATCCTACTACTCAACAGTGAAGCATCAGTTTCCAGCGGATTACAATTAAATGATTTTTCTGGTTATTTAGTATTGCTATTTTATTAAGTTTAAGCCTGGTTCCAGACCTATACATTGCTGTTTAATTCACCTGTTTCCCTGGTGGTAAAAACAACCAACCTATCAGAGCTCTTTATTAGACAAATCTTAATCAGGACTCAGATCCAGTATCAGGTTTATAATACTGGGGACTTGTAGAGAAGATATTTTAAAAGAATGGACAACATCGGTGCAGCAGATGGCGACATTGAGTATTCAGACTTTAGGTCCCTATTGTGAGTCAAGCTCTCACAATGATGGTTCCTACAATTCCCATAATGCAACTAAAATATATTAGTTGCACCAGTGCCAAATGTTAAATAATAATTTTCAAATTCCCTGCTACAAGGTTCCATTGGAGGATTTACTATATACATTTTTTATTTACAACCTCAATGACATCCCTTAGGTTATTAACTAAGCCTTCACAGAGCTGCTTCAAAGCCAAGGACCAAATTATAAAACTGTTTTGGTAGTGATTGTTTGTCAACCATCTCAGCTGTAAAGAGCCACATTTTACCATTGAAGAACTTAATGATTTCAGTGAAGTCCATGTTGTTCTCCAGGATGATGTCCCTGTAGATCTCCACCAGCGCCAGGGCAATGAAAAGCACAAAGTGGCTAGAAGAGGCATACTTGGCAGCCCAGATAGTTTCCCACACTGCAAACACATCATCGTACACCAGCTCTGGAAGACAAATCACAAAAAGAGACGGGAGTCGGACCACATTTTGTATTTGAAGGCTCCGATGGGAGTTTGCAGGAAGTGGAGTTATCAGTGGAGAAAGATAGGAGTGGAAGCAGGTGTTAGAGGAAAGGTTTACTCAGATAGCCAGGTGACAAAAAGTCCTTTGTTTTATAAAGCCTGCAGCTGCAACACACAGCAATTATTTCATAAGCAACTCCCAGGAACGGCTTCCCAAAAATATAGCTGACTACCAAATACTTTCCAAGGCTAGATAACTAAATGTCTTGTTAGCAAGCTGCAGAAGTGTTTGGCATTTTATCCAGCAACAGGGCTTAAAGAGGAGGGCATTTCTCTCTCCTCTAATTGGCACAAACTCTTTCACACCACTTTACCTCGCTTGAAGTCTAGGAGAAACCAGCGGTAGCAGAAGTAGAAGTGGGTATAGTCTCCGTTCTGGTGCATTAGCTCAAACATCTCAGAATCCAGGATCTACGCAGAGAGGGGATCAGAAAATGCAAAGGAAAGGTGTAAAAAAAGTGTGACGTTTGTTGGCAATGAATGCATTTATTAATACCGGTTTGCTACAATGTGTTAAGATTTGAAAGGTCACCTGAATAAGAGAGCGCATGTTGGCAAAGTGGGTATCCATAGCTCCTCCGTGGGGGAAGTTTTGATTCATTCTCTTCATGAGCTCAGTGAAACAGCTGAAGGCCATGGCCTCTGATAGCAGGAAACAGAGAGAGGAAGCAGGAGTGAGAACGTGTGTGGGCAAACTGTCCTCCGTTGTTCCATCAATAATTGTAAAAATACACCGAATGTCGGAGAAGAGAGGTGATTCAGTGTTGACTCACCGTCATCCAGGATGACAAGAAGTGGAGCCAGCAGATCACACATGCCCTGCACGTAACCGATGTCCAGGTGCCTCCAGATATAGCTGTTAATATACAATCGAGAGAAGTGAACGCTTTTTATCTGCCACTCATCCGCTGAGTCACCCTCTGCTCAGGATTGAGAGGTATTCACACATTTTCCAACTCAATGGACGTTTTTAAACGACAGCTGAAGACTTTTTAGGTATTAGCGACAACCCCCTTTCAATCTTTATAATTAGTATTATTTATTTGTATATTGTTTTATTGATGTATTTATTTTATAGGTCTTAATTTATGTTTATTTATTTTATAGTTTTATTAGCAGTCTTTTAATCTTTATTATTCATATTCGTTTTTATTTATTTTTTATTATTATTGTTTTATTTCTTTCTATAGGTTTACATATTGTACTGTATCTTTCATTTTGTGTTCATTCTGCCTTTATGTAACAGAGGGAGCATTATCTATTTTATTGTATTTCCTTTTACCTCCTTGTGTTCCTTGCACTGTTATATAATCTTGTTATGCTGCATGTGTGCGTGCGTAAAGGTTTAGACGTTTGACCTGAAGTTAATTTCTTGTTTTTTGTTTTCATTTGTGATGTGTGCCATGTTGGGAAAGCACTTTGAGCTGCACCTGGTGTATAAAAAGTGCTATACAAATAAAGCTTTATTATTAATTTTACATTTTTTCCGACGCTGTTTTATCACCATTTATCAAGGAGACTACTGCAAAAATGATTAGGCTTTTCTAATGGGCTTTTGTTTGGGCCGAATAAGCTGGTTTATACATTTTTCTGTTTTCTTTCATGCATTTCCTTTCAAATCCTCAGAAAAAAACAAAACCAAAAAGGTGTGGTAGTATTATGTCCCTCTCATCTTTCTGACTTCAGTGACTCCATCATTTGCAATCTGCCCCAAGACGTTTGTACCTACTAAAGACTTAAAGTGGACCTATCATGCTATATTTGAATAATATAGTGTAGGACCATACCTATATACTGTAAGGCATATTTATACTTTTTTTTTTTCAAAATACCAAACAGATCATGCATTTTAGCCATGCCTCATTTTGCTCAATTTGACAATTTATAGCTCTGGGCAGATTCAGTGAGAACAGCACCATCTACTGGCCTGGCATATGTACTACAGCGTCTCCAGCGCTTTCGAACGGCAATGGCCGTGGCGGTCTCCTCCTGATTGGTGGAGTTGGCCCAATAGCCGTAGCGCCACCGTCCTGACGTCAGGACAGTGTTCAAATCTGGATCAGTTTGTATCAGATCCGTTACAGCCCCTTTTTTAGAGATTTGGGTATGGAGGAAAATAGAGAGGGTTGTGTTTTCTGACACTTGGTGAGTTCCCTGGAACACCGGGGACACATATTCATGTGTAAAAGACGTACAAAAGTGCATTTTGCATGATAGGTCCCCTTTTAAATCTTTAAAAAGTTATAAATTGTTTAAAATGTAAAAAGGCTAGGTCATTTCTTGAAACAGCCAGGCACTTTAGATTTTAGTGAATGTTACTCAAAATGAGAAAATCATGCATTTCTTGTAGACTATTTTCAGCTGTGAATTGACACACATTTGGTGCTCTAGACAAATTGCCAGCAGGAAAGTATGTGATGAATGGACACAAAATAAATGGTGAGGACATTATTATAATCCTAACACTCATTAGCACATTTACATTCATACCACCAGCCTTAAAATGTAGATAAGCCATTTTCAGTAGATATCAAGAAGGATGAAATCAGCATGTTTGTATTCTTTAACATCCTGATGCTGTGAGTGTTTTACCTGCACATGATGTTGCGCAGTTTCTCCAGGTTGGCGGGAGTGAAGTACCAATAGTTTCGGTCACAGCGCTGGACATCCTTTTCAATCCGGTGCAGATTTAATGTATACAAGTCCAAAGCTCTTGCTGAAACAAACAACACAATAAATAGATTAAATAAGCTCAACAACAACAACACATAGAAAGGTCTTTTTTTTTACATTTGAAAATCTGATTCATACAGTGAAGGGACTCCCAGACTCTTGAGAGGGCGCTTCATTCTTAGGGTCTCCAGGTCCAGGCGGAGAGACAAAGTTAGGGTACAGGTTCACCCCCTCTGGCTCCTCTGCAGTGGGCTTTCCCTGCTCGTCCTCCTGGCCAGGCTCCAGATGGGGGGCTGCTTCACAACGCCCCTTCCTGCTCCAAGGCACCATGGAACTTTGGCTTTAGGGATCTCCTCCATCTCTATGGCGGAGGGAGACTCGTCAGACTCAGTCATGACCCGAGCCTCGTCTTTCTGAGAGGAAAAGTAGGCTTCTCTGGCTGTCAAGTCTGCTGGGAAAATCAGGTTCTTCTCAACCACGGGATCCACTGGATAGACAGATACATTTTCTTTCTTTTCTTCCAACAAAAACTCTTGTGGTTTACTCGTCTTTGATTCATCCATTTCCTTCGTTTTTTCCACATCTGTTTCTGCTATATTCTTAATCTCTGTCTCTCCCTCAGCATTTAATTCTGCTTCTTCAGTCAGACTTTGCTCAACAAGTTCTCCTTTAGATTCGTTGGCAGCAGCTGGTGACACCATCGTGGGATCCTCATCGGGCACTTCGTTCTCCGTTTCCCCTTCAATTCCTTTAAGTGCATCTTTATCTTCACTTTCTGGCATCTCTGTTTTAATTTCTCCAGACTCATCAACGGTTTCTTGGGTCTTGGCTTGCAGACTTGTCTCTTCCTTGGCATTCGACAGCTCCTCAGTCTTGATGTTTTCTTCAGTTCTGGTCACATGTCCTCTCTCCTTCTCCTCTTCCTCCTGGTTGCTCTTCACGCTACCTTTCTCCTCTGTGAGACCTTCACTGTCTGCAGGTTTGACTGGGCTCTGTGGCGCCTGAGGGACAGCGGCAGGTTTTGGGGTAGTATCAGGTGCAGCGCTGTCCTCTGTGAGGGAGCCATCCGACAGGCCGGAGGTGACGGAGAAGTTGCGGGAAGAAGGATGTCCGGAGTCAGGAGAGCTCGTCCCGTTCTGCAGAGCCCCGTTGGGTATCTTTGGCACCAGTTTGGCCTCTTCGCTCTTGGGCTCCGTCTCGATCGGGTCAACCTCCTCCACGGACTCAAACACCTGAAAGAACAAGCCAAAGGGAAGCAGGCTACTCCAGGGGAAGGGGTGGGAGGATGTGAAGAACTAGCAAGGGGAAAATGCAGGGATGTTGAAAAGGGTTGAGATCACATGCATTACTTTAGGATCCGGATACAAGAAGTCTAAACACCATTTCAGTCTTTGAAAGGCCCTTTTTAGAAGACCATCTACACAGGCTGCTATCTGGTGAGTGTGTCATACCTGTGTGCTGCTGCTGGAGTCACTCTGCAGGCGAGCCAGACTCTGCCTGTCAGAGCTCTGGGAGGACTGGGTAATAAAGATATACCGACCAAGATATTATTATATAAACCCTTTTTTAACTGAAATGCATCTCTGTTATTACATTGGCTCATTACATGTGCTGAGCTTACATTAAAGGTCCCCTATTATACTGTTTTTCATCAACATATTATAGGTCTCAGATATATACAAAACATGTCTTTGAAGTGTTTGGCTCCAAACACCAAACAGATCATTGCAGCATCCCATAATCCCCTCTGTTTCAGCCCTGTTTCAAAAGTGCTGATTCTCTGTCTGTTACTTTAGATGAAAATAAGGAGCCACTCCCCACGCCCCTCTGAGAGATATTTGGTTAAGAAGAACACAATGGTGCTCTAGGAGGAGATTCAGGTGATAAGGTGGGTGGGGGGGGGTTACCTTGGTTGGTGATTGGCTAATGGTTACACAAGCCAAAACATCGTTATGACATCATAAAGTGGCCAAAATCTGATCAGCTCATTTTCAGACAGGTTTTTATATAAATGGATCAGGACAAAAAGAGAGAGAATCTTTTTTCCTGAAACTTTCAGAATCTCTTTACACAGAGGGGACACATGTTTATTTATAAAAGACATGAACAAGTGGATTTTGCATAATAGGTGACCTTTAAAGGGATACTCAAATTACATTGTACAAATTGTGTGACGTTGCAGGATAAAGAACATTTGAAACTTTTACTTTTCAAAAATAAAGCTACAGAAGAGTTATACAACTGATTCAACAAGCTGAGAAGTACCGCCTGTAACTAGTAAACAGACTAGTAACTCTGAAAATAAGTGTGCTTCACCTCATTGCTGACGGAGGAGTTGTGGTGGCTCATCATCTTCTGACTGGGACTGTCCATGCTCGCTGCGGAGGAACACTTTGCTATGGCCGCCGCGTGCTGCTCCTTCTCCCTCTGCCGGACGATCTCCTCACAGCCGAGCCACTCACTCATGGTCTGCTGGTAGCACACTCGCACCTTCTCGTCCACCTGGGGGGAGGAGGAGGGTACCATCAAGGGTCAGTGGTTCAGGGGGAAAACGCTCTGAACACAAAGATATATTTGTAGTGAAAACTACAAACCTCCTTCCTCTCAGCTTCTGACATTCCAAACTGGTAATGGCCCAGCAGGAAAGGCCACACCTCTTTACGCAGCGAGGCCTCCACCCCGCCGTAGTACACCAGGCGGAGCAGGTCCTTCTCCTCGTATGCCTGGAGACACAAGAACTTTCTTTTATCTTTTGGATTTTCCCTAAAAGACTATTTCAAATCATTGCACAGCATTAACAACACAGAGAGCTGTAGACTAGTAGTCGTTTCTTATTTATTTCATTTAAGTATTGCCAGTTCTGCACAACCCTCTGAATATGTTGCACATTTGTAGATAAGCTACCTCTCCTAATATCTGCACAGCTTTACACAACAATACTGCACATATTTTATTTTATTGTTCCGAGTATTTTATCAGAGTTAATGTTATAATAGGTTTTTTTCAAATGTTGTACCGGTTTCTCCTACAATTTATCTTCTTTCACTTTGTTTATGTATGCACTATATACACCAAGGCAAATTCCTCGTATGTGTAAACCTACTTGGCAACAAAAGTATTATTCACAAAAAATTAACCAGTTTTCATTCAAATATTAGCTTGTAAAGCATGTACATTTATGTTGAGGTCAAACTTATAATGGCTTCAGATAAACGTTGCTAAAGTCTAAATTAACGATAGATGTGGACTTTAAGACTGACAGGGTCATTAGTCATGCTTCATGCATTCTGTTGTGAGACTAATGTGTGAGCCACATGATTAACAGAGGATGAATATGGATGAGACACAAGATTGATGGAGGGAGAAAGCCTGAGAGTGGACATGCATGCGTGTGTGTGTGTGTGTGTGTGTGTGTGTGTGTGTGTGTGTGTGTGTGTGTGTGTGTGTGTGTGTGTGTGTAGCATACTGTCAGCAGCAGTGTGATGTTTGTGTTGCAGTGCTGTGACACCAGCGATGCTTACTGTGCAGTCCTGGAGGAACGTCTGCCAAACGTCTGTGGTGAGCCCTTTGTAGGCGTCACACGGCACGTCGGGCGCCACGATGGTGTGATTGACGAGCGCAGAGAGGTGTGTGCGCACGGTGGACAGGTGACGGCAGTACGCCAACCCTGCAGGACAATACAGTTCATTACTTAGTGGCTCTGCAGATGTTAGTGATAATTCAAAGGAGAATATTACGCACTTCTTCCAACACATTTTTCATACTGAATGTAAATACTTATGTCAAATGCTTTTCAGTGTAAACAATAAGCGATCACATACAGCCATAAAACGCCCGAGAGATGATCTGATTCTTCATGTTGTCGCACAGCATCTTCAGAGGAGCCCTGCAGGAAGACACAGCACATTCACATTTACAGTGTTTCACCTATGTAAGGGGAAAACATTTCTCTTCTCTATCCTTAAACTATTATTAAACTAATTACCCAATGCATCATAAAAAACTGTATCTCATGTATTACAGGGTTAGGTCTAACCTTTTATCATGCTAATTATTGCCGTGCTGCCATATAGAACAAAATGGCTCTGAGGATGGCCTTTTTTTCAAAAACGTTTTATCTGCCTCGCTCATCACCTCATTTTCCAAACACATGTCAGTGAGGTAAATGTCACATAATTGTCTCCTCGGTAATTGCCTGGTTGTTGTATCTTTGCTCCTTTCTGTTTCCTCTGTATTGTGTGTGCGCTCTAAAGGACTTATATACACCTATGTGTTTGTGAACAATTATAGAAAGGGTTTTTCCTGATATATCACTGTACGAAGTCATGGGGTGTCAGGTTACTGTGTGTCTCGAGCAGTTTCCCTGTCACAATGTACCACAACTAGGCTTGAGGGGTAACAGATTACATGTAACGAGATTACGTAATCAGGATTAAAAAATGATTACAATTACATACAAAAAATTAAGTAATCAGATTACTGTTCATTTTAAATTGAGATTACTAGCAGGATTACAGTGTTAAAAAACATATATATATTATAGGTAGACATACTGAATGAATATTCTTTATGATTTATATTCTGGCTACCTACATTATCCTTTATTTTTAAATAATTATTTTTTAATGCAGTAGGTGGACACCTGATATATATATATAAAAAAAATACAGTCTATACTTTTGATGAAGATATTAGGTTAAACAGCATTTGTAAACTATTACTGTTACTACTCTTTGGTATGAACATCTTGTTTTTCTCTTTTCTAAGGTTACATTGTTACATACACTTAAATAAAAACATCTTATTGATATTTATTTTCTCTTGTTTTTATTTGCATTGCATTTTATTTTGAGGTAATCGAAAAGTAACAAAGTAATCAGAATACATTACTTTTATATTGTGATACTCAGATTAGGTTACTGATGATTTTTTTCAGGTAACTATTAATTGTAACGGATTACATTTTTAGAGTAACCCCTCCGAACCCTGAACACAACACAGTCCAGTGTAAAGCGTGCTTATTCCTCACCTCTCATGATTGCACCCCTTAGGCGTGGCTCCGTCAGAGAAGCTGCCAGGAGAACAAGAGGAACACGAGGACTTCCTGAGGGTGGGATGCCACATTGTAGCTCCTTGGTCCAAGTCTGGAGGAGTCACTGCAACACACACACACACACACACACACACACACACACACACACACACACACACACACACACACACACACACACACACACACACACACACACACAACACACACACACACACACACACACACACACACAACACACACACACACACACAACACACACACACACACACACACACACACACACACACACACACACACACACACACACACACACACACACACAACACACACACACACACACACACACACAACACACACACACACACACACACACACACACACACACACACACACACACACAGCATACTACACAGGCTTTCAACATTAATTACATTGATTCAAACACAGCTGGAAAGACTTGCAGAATTATGCTCATCGACTGTGATCCGCTAAAAGCACCTGAGAGTACAATTTTGTGTTTGATTCCTGTTAAAGCATATAAGTACATTTGCATTCTTGAACTGGTGCAGAATGTGAAAGCATGAAGCCGGCCAATTCAATTCAATTATTATAAAGGGAAATCGATCAATCAGTTATCCACGCAGCGGCTGTTGAAAGGTTACTGCGCAGTAATGCAGTAAAAAGGGCGGCAGGGAGTGGGAGGGGCTTTAATCGCAGGACACATCGATAAACATCGCCAGAAGCTCAGGACAGGTCAGGAGGAGATTAGATCAGGAAGCTAAGGCAAGCTGACAGACAGAGCAGAGGTGTGACTGTGTTACAGCTGCTTCCTGTGAGAGTGGGGGGGTCTTCAGGGCAGCTGCAGGACATCTTTGGGACAACCAGGATGCCTGTTTTGAAGGGGGACGGCCCACTCAGTGGAAGCGAGAGGGAGGAAGTCAGATGGGGAGCATGGGTTACAGTCACTGTAACAAACAACGTGTGACAACAAATGAAAATGCAACAATCTGGAAAGGCCCGCGGGTGCCGCTCATATTCATCTACTTCCAGTGGTGTAAAGTTACTAAATATATTTACTCAAGTACATATTGATGATAAACAATATGATCAACAATTAAAAAAGACTAGTTACACCTGGATTACAACTACCCAGCAGTACATTAAGTAATCAAAATGAATTTTACCTTTACCAGCTCGATACATAAATAATTATATATAATTATATATGATTGTAAAATGGGCCAATCTGAATGAATTTTAGTAGCTTTTGGTTCCAACACTTTTGTAGTTTTACTTGAGTAATATTTTGAATACAGGACTTTTACTTGTAACAGAGTATTCCTACACTCTGCTACACTTTTACTTAAGAACAAGATCTGAGTACTTCTTCCCCCTCTGTCTGCTTCTCAGGAGGGAATCTCACCAAACTCTGAGTGGCTGTTTGGAAAGAGGATGCGGAAGACATAGTCGGTGGCCTCGTCCTCCTCCTTATCTGAGACCGAGTCTGAGGATCCAGATCCCTGAGGAACCCTGTTCCGCAGCTTCGGAAACACCTTCCCCTGTGACGAGAATATAAACAATATTTAACTAATGCCAACAACTAAATCATTCTAACCCATTAGAGCCCAGTTTAGCCATCCATGTGAATTAAAGAGGATGAGTGTCATGCTTAATAATAGTGCCTGAACCTGCATGGGCGGTTTTCATTATACTGTTTAGCTGCAGATAAAATGCTACTCACAGTCCATCAAAAAAATCCATTCATTAAAGAAGCCACTTTCTGTGTTGTGGTGCAGAGAACATTACGCCACACATTCATTACTAATATTATTACAACCATGCAATGCGTTTCAAAACGTCGTTTTTATTGATTTATTGATCAGGCTGATTCTGCATTTGAGTGCCCTTTTATGTGTAATTTGTTTACTGTATGTGAGGCTAGGGACCCTAAAGAAAGACTTCCTGTGCTGACCTTTCCCCTCTGGGACCACAGGGGGGGGTCCAGCTGTCCGTGGGGAAGCAGGCCGTTCTCCAGGCAGGAGAGGAACTGGAGCAAGTGGCCTCCTCTTGGGAAGCGAAGTGGAGGTCTCTGGATCCCATCCTGACTGACCAGCACCACCGTCCCCCCACTGTCAACTGCAGGAGATATACCAGAGGACTTTATGTTAAATTATTCATGATGCCATTTCATGCCACAGCAGTGTTTATTTAGACCAGGGGTGGGGAACCTCCGGCCTCCGGGCCGTATACGGACCGCGAGACCATTTGGTACGGTCCTCGAGGTAATTTATAAACACACGCAAAAAAGAAAAATATTAAAGAAATGTAGACCGCAAAACAATTAAACAAGCGAGTGCCTATTTTTCCTTTTTCAGGGTCCTTGAACACAACACGAGCCTAACGTGTCATCACGTGGTATATGTCTCGTCTGACAGGGGTGCAGTTCTGACGGAGAGCACCAGAACGTCGTTCCGGTGTTGTGTCAAATTATGCACCCCCATCATGAAATGCCCTCATTGTCACGGGAACGCGCATTTCTAAATGACACGTTTACACCTTAAAACGATGTTTAAAACGAAAAGTAAACGTTCAGGGTTTTTATTAATGGTAATTGTCAGACTGTGAGTTGTTTAGTGGTAGCTCGTATAGTCTTGATTCTTGTGGTTAAACTTTTCGCTCCGTATTTGATGGTAGTGGTGTCGAAATTCATTCGTCACTTCCTTTTCAGTTTTTGTTTTTTTTTATCTTTTTTTTCTTATTATTGTTATGTCCTGTCTGTGTACACGTGCTTTAAAATGTATTGTTTAATTTTACATATTTGTCATATAATAATCAAAATATATGTTTACAAATGTTACATAGTCTTTGTCAGCATATTTTTGCCACGTTATGCACCCCTTGCTATCTTACATAATAAAAGTGTCACATTCATGAAACTTGCTCCATTCATTGGTACTAGTCCTACAACTATACCCTAAAAAATGCTTGAGGGTGGGATTAATACAAACATCTTTTGGGGGGGGGGTGCATTTTATGTGTCCATATCTTTCTGTTTTGGTGGTCATGCCACAACCGTGCACGTGCATGCATGCGCGAGTCATGGTAAGATATCTGGATTAAGAGGTTGCTTTTTCTTTGCACAGCATGAAAGAAAGGCCAAATGAATGGGCTGTGATTTTAGTATTTTTAAGCAGAGGTCAATAATTTGTACGGCCCTCGGAGGATGTTGAAAAAAATTGAAATGGCCCTTGAGAGGAAAGAGGTTCCCCACCCCTGATTTAGACAATGATAACAAATAAAAAAGGCAAATTGTGCTATAAAGGTCTGCGAGCGCTTACCTTGTTGATGACAGTGCAAGTAAACTATCTCCCCGAGAGGGATGGTCATTGCATAGTCCCAGTATACACTAGAAAACATTAATAGAAAAAAGAATGAAGAAAATAACCAGGTTACTAGCTTTAGCACACCAGGTAAATCATAATTTAACAGTGAAAAGTAAATCCATTAAAGGGGTATCCCTGCGATTCGAAATCTCAAGCGTCATTTATTTTTATGGCTAATAAAGAGAGCAGTTGCGCACAGACAAGCATGAGCTGAGTTGGCAAATGCAATAATCAATTGTTTTGGTGAGAGGAACAATGCACAGGCACATAACACGGTTTGTCGGTTTTGAAAGATGTCTGACAGTGTCTCAGTCAATAAACCATCTGCTGAAAATAAGCCTCATCAGATCAGCAGCATTGACTCTCCATACTGAGCCAGTGAGCCACACACAAACACACGCTGCATTGTTCAGAAACACCTGAGTGTTACACAAACAGCAGACAAAAAAATATATATATATATGGCAGAATGTTTTTTTTTTATGTGAGAAGGATTACACACATTATCAAACACAGGCTGAGTACACAGACACAATCACTGTTATCATGATACATTTACAGCTGGATCATTTTGCACCTGCATTCGTAGTCCAGGTCTCCAACAGAGCCGTTCATCAGCTGGTTGGGGGTCCACTTCAGGGTCATGAGGTCAGCATTCTGGTGCATAGAGAGGTAACCTGGGATAGCCTCCATGTCATCCCTCTGAAACAACCATGGATGTTAGGGTTAGGGTTAGCATACATTACAGTTAAGGAAGTAATATACTGAATTATCCGGTTTAGAAATATTGTATAATTAAATACAAATAAGTTAAATAATAGGTTGTTCCTCATAGTATTTATATGTCTAAATAAGCATGTTATAGTGTTCTGATAATACAATTTAACTGTGACATTTCTAATAATAACACAGAAATGTCAACCTGATTTTAGCTTCCTTAAGCCTGTCAGTTGTCAATTGAGATATTATTTCTAGGGAGAGTCATAGTTATATATCCACTGAGTCATTCAGAGGGATCGGACAGTTACCGGTTGTACGAGCACATTGTTTTTGCCAAACAGTAGGGTCACCCTGCTGTTTTGATGCAGCGACTCCACATATTCACGAGCTGATGGTGAGGGGGAAGGGCGTTCGTCCATGCTGCTGCTGGAGTGCCGCTTCTGGATCTGCACAGAGACAAAATCACATCAGATAACAAACATCGTAAACCAGAGCTAAAACGATGACTGTCTCTGCAGAATAAATTACAGGTGGCCAGTCACAGTGCAGTCAGTTTTCATGAACAAGATCCTCTGTTTCACCTTAATCAAGATGAGAAAATGAGAAGATTGATTCCCGTGCACCAATGCATCCGGCCATGTTTCTGATAACAGTCTGTTTCTGCTTGGAAAACACACACAAATACACAGCACCAGGCAACTGTTTGGAGCACTGAGGTGCCGTAAAAAAGGCCGAGTTGACCTGGTTGGTGAATGAAGACAGAACAGGTGTGAAGTTCTCCGATACACTCTGTTCTTTCTCCGGGGACACGCTGTGCAGTAATCTTAGCGAGTCTGCTTTAATCAGACAGGCAGCATCACAGAAGGGATCAGACACACCTCTGGAACTCATAAATAAACAAAAAAGGAGCCTGGCACTGATTATGCATGTTCATCTACTGCATTGCTAGTTTGATACTCACACACAGTGCGGGCCTCTTAGTGGGAGAATCCTGTCGGCAGTGGCCCCCGTGGATACGATGCCTTTGCACCAGCTCGTCAGCAGAGGGGTCGGTCCAGAAGTGGTCGGCTGTCTTCATCTTGCTGTACTCCAAAGCACAAGGTCCGACTGTCACAGTAAAGGTGGACAGTTAATGGTGCAGGCACTCACTTAACACATTATAAAACCAGTGAACATTACAGGATCATCTTAAACATTATTTGGCACACTCAAAAATAGAGAAATAGAAGTATACAAATTGTAGAACTAAAAGAGTAGATTTTCAGATATGTACCAGAACAGACTCCTTCCTTCCTTCTTCATTCACAAGCAAAAGGCAAAGCTTAGAAAAAACAAACTAAATACAACTGAGTTGTGTGCGGCTGGAATATGTTTTTGATCTGCCTTCGTAATCAACTTACCATCCCCTTTGATTTATCTTGTGTCTATCTTGTTTTGATATCTCTGCTTGAGGGTAAGAAATATACCAAGACAGTCTAAAGAAATACAAGTACTGGCACACTTATTAAATCCTCTGCTGAGAACCAAATGTAGCTCCCAGCAGCAGTGCCTTCGTCTCGGATGAAACCAATCAAAGACTGCAATGAAGGATTGGCTATTAGTATAAATAGGGAGAACAAATGGTAACCATAACGTCCTTGTGAAGCATACTGGTTCACTAACAAGCTTATACAATTCTGCTGAATTTGTTTTCGAATACTCCCATGATTACACACGTCTATTTGAACATGAGCAGAACCCATAGCGTAAGACATGATGCTAGATGGTCACAATAAAAGACACATATAATTACCTAACAAAGAGGCAAGGATAGGTCCGTCCACATTGTCCATTAGAACAGCCTCTTTCTCATAATATTTACTGGAAGACAAATATGGAAGGTTTTTTTTTAAAGGGCACAGTGAGTTATTGTAACACAGTAAAAAAAAGTGGCATTATTGACTATTCTCAATGTACCTGCTGTTCTCCACCAGGTAGAGGACAATTCTGTCCAGCACTTTCTCAAATAAAGCCGTCCGGATCCACAGGTTCTTGACTCCCTGCGGGCTGAGGCTGGGCAGGCGAGGCATCTTGCGTAAACCGTCTTGACTTTGCATGCTTTGACTTCGTCTGCAGGAGGAGAGGGTCACAAAATCAACAAGTATAACATGGTTTAAAATTGCATTCAGTGAAAACCGCATTTGCATGACTCAATGGCATCAGCAATTCATGATTCATAAAAGCTGGAAACATGAATTATTTAGAAGCTTTTCAATCCAAAAAATAATACTTCAAGTGAGCAGACAGCCATTTATTTTTCAGGGCTTTCGCTTGCGCAGGGCTTTGATGTAAGCTTTCAAGTCTGCTGTGATGTGTGAGATGTTGGTCTCTCACTTTGTCTCCATGACCTGCTCCAGCTCCTGGGCCTTTCTGCACAGATCCTCCGCCGGGACGAAGCTCTTCCCCACCTTCATGAAGAGTGCCGCTATTTTGTTGCTACGCAGGAAGCCTGCTGCTCTCCGTTTCAGCCCGTGGAGGACGCATGCCTCCACTGCAGCTGTGGGACACACACAGGGTTAGACAAGTGTTACTAGGGGGCACGATACTCTAAATGTATGCACATAAAACAGAAGAGTACATGTATATCATTAAAAGACACCAGACATTAGTCCAATATCCCCTCTCCTTTTAGCTTTCCAAAGCATTACATAAGAAATTACAAATAGGGATTTCTTTTGACTAATTTGAACATAAACAAATGTAATAGAGCAATTACATTTTGTGATGTAATTTCTTGAAATTGTCACAAATGAATCGTACTGATCTATAGGTTTTTTGTTTTGAGGCACAAAACCTTTTCTTTAGATGATAGCATGTCAAACCTCCACGTCATAATACACTTGATGTTGATAATGATTTCCAGATATTCATGCGCACTATAATAAAAATAAACAAAGCAACAATGCATTTATGCACATGTCAGATGTCAAGTGAGTTTCATCACCCCCGCAATTCTGCACAGTGCATTTCTATTGTATGTTTTTATTGAAGTGTTGATGCATAGTAGAAATGCGTTTGACGGTGTTCATTTACACATGAAATGAACACAGTATAAAGTGGTGCCCTATTCAATTCTTAACATAACCTTCTGATGCACTTTTTGTCTGTATGTATTTTCTGTTAAGTTCAAGACTGCATAAAAAAACTGTTTTTGTCTTTTTTAAATGAAGATTTACGTGATCATCTTTACATTCAAAAAGTGACCCATCGAGCTGTAGCGGACACACAAGTCGATGACACACAAAATTGCTCAATTGTGCAGAAAACAGACACCCCTCTCCTCTCTCAGGCCTACGTGGCAGCGCCTGGAGCTGTGTTGACATTTGAGTTTTCTTTCAGGACTAATCCTGTGGCTCTGTTCACATGGGGTCAGGGGGAAGGCTGGTGTCACCATGGTTACCCCTGTTGATGGAGCTATCGAGCTCTGGGAGATGAGCAGCGGAGGGAGGGAGGGGTGGCAGCATCTCATCAGCATCACGATCCCTCCATCTCTCTCTCAATCACCCTCACCCCTTCAAACACAGCTTCTATCCTGCCTCCATGCTATCACTACATCCGTCACTCTCTCTGTCGCTGCTGCTAACAGCGTTTATCTCCTACCTGGGAAATAAAAGTGTCAGCGACGACATCAGCTTGAGTTTTCTTTTCTAATAAAACCATGTCATCTTTGCTGATCTTTTCCTCTCCATCTCTTCCTGCATTTTGCTCCCCTTCCTCCCGGAGCTGCTTTCCTCCACATCATTATAAGAGCAAGAAGCCAAATGTCAGAACAAAGCGTAACATGACAAAGGTCTCCTCGTATAGTTCATCCTGCTTCCTCTCATCATTTCTGCTAACTAGTCTCAGATGGTAAAGGTGCAAAAGAAAGCAACTCCCAAACATGACACTGCTCTAGAGGGACTGTGTATTCCAAGCTAGCGAGAACATTCCCAGTTTGTCATAGTCTCCGCAGTTACAAACTCTAAAATGAACAACGGCATCAGGGGCAATGTTACAAACAATACCTTTGGAAATGTGTTCACTGTATGGCACGTATACATAAGAAAAGGTTTCAGTTTGAGACATAAAGTAGGGAGAATGGAAGGAAAATGTAGTCTTGATCTGTACAATTAAATCTTATTTTACCAGATGAATAATTAAATACAGAAGTGACAAGAAAATGAGCATCATGTCAGTGGGATCACTTATTGGTGCAGTGTCTCCTGGTAAAAACAGCGAACACAGTAAATTGCCTCTAATCACCCTGTATCTGTGGCAACTGAGTGCATTAAGAGACTCGTGGACAGTGACCAACACTTTCCCCACCGCAGACAAAGAGCCTATCGTGGACAGCGCTGAAATGAGTGCATCCACAGAATATTATCTAATGATGTTTCTAATCAATGTATCATGTGTGTGTGTGTTATATATGCTATGATACAAATACACACTTGATGATTACAGCCTGTTGTTCGCTTCACTTTCGTGGATTTGACATTTAATGGACAGAATGATTCATCTCAACATTAATCACTAGATTCATCAGCCATAATGACCACACATTACATAACAACCACCATTGGTCTAAATCAAGTTATGCTCTGGTTCATTTTAAGCGATTTGGCTGCTTTTGCTACCTTTGTCTATACATTTGATCTCATCTTCAGCATATTTAAATATTCACATCTTCGGGAAGAATGATTTACTTTGTAAGCACAATAGTGAGTTGATTGTTCAAGCCAATTGGCTGTGACATGCAAACCATTTTGGTAGCTACGACAGAAAAAGCCATCAGTCAGAAGTGCAGGTCACATTTTGATTAAATGGTTAGTGCATTTATAAAAGGTGAAACCAAATGAAGTGGCTTTAATCACTGTTCAACAGAAATCAGCCAGGGTGCCATTAAAATAATCGTTGTGATCCGTCATGACAGATGTAAGAAGCGAGGACTTCAACACAAAGGATCAAGAATGAATGAAATAAAAAGTAATGTGTAAAAAATTACAAACTGATTTTATGAAACTATAATTGATTGAACCTTTTCTGTGTATCTCTTACTACTCAATGCTTCATAACTTGGCTTTCTATCCCTTCAGAGCGTGTACATTTCAGACTCTACCGGGGTATCTCATCAAAGTAGCCGTGATGGTGGAGGCTAATTGCTCCCCGGTGAGCTGGCCGAGCTTCCCGCCCATCCTCCACTCGCTCTTATCTCTAAAGAGACCAGCTGAAAGAGTACTTGGAGTAATAAGAGCCACTATGAGGATCATAGGAGGAGGACGCTGGCTGACAACAACACACAGATGAGAGGGTCATCCTGAGCTTCTACATGACCACTGAGATAACATGATAGTAGTAGAGGAAAGATCCCCTCAGACTGACGAGCATCTATGAAAAAAAGCAGTTTGTTGATCCAATGCCGTCTACAGCGAAGGCCAACAATACTGCTGACAGGCAAAATCAAATGAAAACACATAGCACAAACAATGTACACAACACTGGTACAAAAACATCACATTGCATTCAATTCTGTGGAAGGTAATACATCATTTAAAGAAAAAATAAAAACATTAAAAGATATTTGGGGCAAGCTGATAACTGGTTGGGAAGGATGTCTATTATTATTATTTGGTTTAATACATTTTCAAGCTCTGCAGTAAATTCCTTTCACAGCTATACAATCAGATACTCTTGGATATCATATGGTAGGGATTTTATCTCCATGGACACTTAATAAGCACACGTTATTGATTGTATATTTTTATAACCTGAGAGGCGTTATGTCTGGTTAAATATAAATAAGCCACAAATGAGCTGTAGGCACAGTAGCTTCGGTCTGACGCACATGACAGGAGATTGAATTCAGTTTTTTAAAAGTTAGTGAAACTGTCTTACAGTAAAGCAGATTTTCACAACATGATAACCTTTTTCTATAGGTTTTATTTGTACAGTATGTGCATCGACTCGAACATATTTATAAAGGGCTACAATGAAATTTGAAGAGTCTGTGTAAAGGGAAGGTCTCATAACTGTTCATTTGTTTATACCATAAACACATTTTCCTACATTTCAATAGCTTGCCAAGAGTGTCATGTTATGAGTTAAGAGCAGTCTTTGTCTGCAAGGATTGGCTCCTGGCTAGTATATATATCACATTTCCTGCACGCTGAGAGTCGATTTATTCCCACTGAAATCCCCAAATACACGTTGTTACTGATTACGGCTCTGAACTGAGGCAGACATCTGACCGGTGTGAGCGCCTGCATGTGGGCAGTGTGTTTCTCACAGTGGTCGTGCTGCGCTCTGTTGGCTATTTGGAGGCAAGAACAATAACATTTGGTGAAATATTGAACTTTAAAATGTCCTTTATTTAGCTTGTGTAGAAGTTATGCTGATGATGTGGATCTTCACGTCCCTGTACTGGCTGTCTGTTTTTAATGTGGCAACTATAACCCCGACTTCCTTTTAAAGACTTGTATTCATTTGGCAAAAAAAAAAACTTGTTGTTGGAGAAATATCTCTATTATAGGAATATAAATGTAATAATAAGCAACATCAGCTACATGTTATCCTCTCTGATGGACTAATAATAATAATAATTCCTTACATTTATTATAGCGCTTTTCCAGATGCTCAAAGCGCTTTACAAATACACATGTAACGGTCATGTACTGTGGACAATACCCACAGGAGCGAATTCAGGTGAAGTGTCTTGCCCAAGGACACAACGGCTTTACAGACGCAGCGGCAGCGGGTTTCGAACTGGTGTTCCCCAACGCCCCCTTGATCTGATGATCAACGCACAGCCCACTGCGCCACTCCGCCCATCTTCACACCTCAAAGTCATCAAGGCGCTTTACAAGTACACATTACACACATATCATACATGTAACGGTCATGTACTGTGGACAGTACCCACAGGAGCAAATTCGGGTGAAGTGTCTTGCCCAAGGACACAACGGTCTGACGCAGTGGCGGCAGGTTTCGAACTGGAGTTTCCCAATGCCACCCTTGATCTGATGATCAACACACAGCCCACTGCGCCACTCCTTCCCACTAAGACTAAGATTGGTGTTGCCAGAACATGTGTGTATGCATTTATTGTTGGTAGTGGTGAATAACTCGAGAACGGTAAAGTTAAGCTAAACCTCTTACTTTCCTTTAACCTTGTATTTGTGAGTTAGTTTTCATTATCAAAATGGCTACACAGTGGAATTATCAGACAGGGAATGTTATCGAAATGCTAGTATATATATAATGCCCTCCTATGTACTTTGTTTCATCATGTTCTAAAATGTGCCCTGCGTCCAATTAAGTGTTGTGTAGAGTTGTTTTGTGATAAGTCATTTGTGACCACAGCTAAAAAGATAAATGATAGAAGATAAACATGAACAAAGATCAGTAGAATCTTTCTTGTAAAGAAAGCAATACAAACAGATAATGGAAATCCCCAGCTTAAATTTAATCCAAAAACAGTCAATGAAACTTACAAACAGTGGGATATTGTAAGGCAACAGATTCTAGACTGCATTATAAACGAGACACAAGTAACTTCGATCAGGAATGATTTGAATGCAATTGTGTTCTCAGTATTTCAGAATGGTTCCAGCTGAAGAGGTTACAAAGAAGCTGAAGCGGTGTGACTCATTTTTATGTTTGGTTACTCACCACAGAAGGACACAATATGGCTGCTGTCTTCGTGAACAAATTTCCTTGTTACAGCTTCCTCCATAATCTGCTTCACCTGTCAACGACATGAAGATGCCGGATGAGTCATTCATTAACAACTGGCACACACACAGGCTGCTTATTGGAGTGTTTACTGCACATATAACAGAATATAATCATGAGGACATATGAAAAACACATGTATGATAACAAGGATTAAACAATTAAAAAGAAAGCGCAGGGGTGAAAGGGGGTTACAAAGTTAAGAGGAAGCGAACCACGCTTGGTTGGAAGAGTGCATGTTAAGTTGGTGGATGAGTCACCAGCTCTCATCCCGAAGACCTCTCATTGATTGATTGATTGAAAAGTTTATTAACAGCTTGTATATTGGGTACAGTACAGTACAGCTCAAAACATACAATTGTTAAGGGGATGCAGACCAGAGAAAGACTTTCGTCTTGTTTACATCAGGGTCCCCCATTTCCAATTCATCATATCATTTAAGACATATAAGACATATATGACATACAGATGGCTTATTTACAATTTACATACAGGTGGTTTTTTACATACAGATGGATTATTTACAATTTTCATTTTAGATTTCGTTCTAATACATCCTAACCGGACATTTAAGACATACCAAGTCTACAGATATACAGTTAGTAACAGAGTCTAAAATGCGAGTATATACATAGATGGGGGGGGGAAGCTGTCCATTGTACGACAGGTTGAGATTTGTACCATTACCGGGGCCAGTTTTGCAATGCTTTCCCCCGAAGGTGCTCTTTAAGAGAGGTTTTGAAGGTAAGTATAGTTTTACTTTCCTTTACAGTTGTGGGAAGAGCGTTCCACCTTGATGTGGCATAATTGCGAAACGTGTATTCCCCTTTTTTTGTGCCAAATCTGGGTTTTACATGATTTGTGGAGCTCCCTCTGGTGTTATGATCATGGTATTCCTTGACCTTTGGGAAGAATTTTGACATGTACATGGGTACCATAGAGGTGTAGTGGATCTTGTAGACCAGGCCCATTGCAAGTAGCTGTACTCTGTCGTCTACTCTAAGCCATCCTAGGTTGTCAAAGTGGGCAGAGGTGAGGTGGGTTCTAGATGAAAGTTCAAGCAGTAGTCTGACCAGTTTATTTTGCGATGTTTGAAGTTTTGTTTTTAGCGCCTTGGAGGTGCTATGGTACCATGACGTGCAGGCATAGTCATAGTACCCTTGAATGAGTGCTCCTGCCAGAGTTTTCAGGGTGTTTTTGTTTACCAGAGAGGAGATGGGATTTGGGATTTGGAGGTGGTACATTTGGTGGTACATTTGGGGGTGGGGGAATAATAAAGGAAGGGAGGGTTTATCCACCACATCACAGACCCCTTTTATCAAGAAGTTTGTAATCCTCAGTGGGAGCAATTGATTCTGTTGCGTCAAACTCTGATGTTATCTTAGTCATGCAAATCCAACTTCTTTTAAAAAAAGAGGGAGAAGATCACACATGCTCACAAGGTAACGCTCATTAGTTAGCTTTTGTTGTCACGGCGATGTCCCCCTCTCCCCGCTGGCCTGACAACAGCGACAGACCAATAGTTTAGATGTCTGATAAATCAATCCCTCCCTCCCGTGGCTATGGAGACGTCCCCCTCGTTGGGCACCGCTCTGCAATCTGCACGGGGAATATCAACCTCCGGACACAGACCACAGATAGCTGTCATTTCCTGCTGAAATGAGTCTGTCAACAAGGACCGTATGACACTGCCAAGTTCACCTTCTGCACAAACACAGACAGACACTCGCTAACACACACACACAGATTCAATACTTTGTTGAAGTGATAAAAAATATATTCTCTGTGAAGAAACCAGCCGTCCTATAATATCAGTTTTTCATGGTTTGATATTTACAGCTGGATCATAAAAGTTTCTCGGAGATGAATTTCGGTCTTCGAGTACGATTTTCAACTTGGGGTTTATGGACCAATAATAAAGTAATATCCCTTCAATCTTACTTGCTGTTCACAAATGATTAAAATACCTTTAACTTTCAGTGGCGGAAAATTAACTGTGTGTCGATATATTGCTCAAATCTATTTGCAAGTCTTACACTGAGAGACTACCCACATATGTAAATGTATTCACATCCACATCTTTATTTAGAGAGAACAACAAAGCCAGAGACTTGAGATTTAACTGTGAAAAACAGAACAACTTGTTTTTCAATGATGGTGCTGGGAAAAATCTGCCCACTTAGCACTGATTGCCACCTCGCTGTTAGTGTAAAGTCGAGTTCCTCAAACCGAACAATCTCTTACTTGTGAAAAAGTATTGCGTCTTGAACCCTTCCCCATGAAAACAATTAGAATAAAAATACCATTCACTAATTAGACAGCAGTCATCACACAAACTTGGCCTGTTTGCATCAGTGGCAGTCATCTCCAGCATCAACAGAAATGATTCATACTGCCAAAACAACAGAGACAGTGCCAGTCTGATGTGATGCACACCCGCTCCACTCACGATCACACTTATAGTAAGCATGCAATCACACAAAAAACAGACAGACAGACAGACAGACAGACAGACAGACAGACAGACAGACAGACAGACAGACAGACAGACAGACAGACAGACAGACAGACAGACAGCGGGCATTATGCACCAATTTTCTCGGTGAGTGAACCTGACACCCAGGGAGTTGATTCATTTGCCAACTTGAGGAAGCAGACACCTTGCGTTTCTCCTCTCTTCCTCCTCTGGGCAACAGATCAGGCCTAAGAGGTTCAACTGGTGAAGTGTCTAAGCTCAGACAACCTGCAGGTTTCTATGGAGACGGCACGTGTCTCACATTGGATCACTTCCGCCTAGGAAGATGCGTCAACAACAGCCATTCATCACTGAAATAAACAAAACTACAGTAACAACAACATCTAGATGCCATCATGACTTCACATCCATCCTCCTAGAGTCCTAGTGTGCATCGATAAAGCACAAATCTAAACAAAGTGGACCACCCGGATTAGCCCATTCGACTAAAACGCCACAACAAAATATATCTTCACTATAATGAACAGATAAAACAATATGCATGACGTGACAACCAACATGAAACGTCTCTTTTACAGCAGCAAAGTCTGTTGAATCTGCTCTGAACTAAGCACTGTAGCCTGAAGGTATTAGACAGAGTGATAAAAGATCTTCAGAGCATTCCAATTAACTCCTGCAACAGCAGAGCCAAAAGATATGAGCCGGAGAGAAAGCCCCATCCATTAAACATCCAGCCTTCATAACTCATTATCTCTGTGGCCAACAAAGGAATGTAAGGCGGAGGAGGAAAATCATCATTGATCATGCATGCTAATCTTCACATAGAGTTAACTTCTTATTATACGATCTGCACCTAAATTAGGTGTCTACTATTTGTATAATAATTTCACATTGAATAAGCAGACTGATCAACTATTCTGATTCCACTACAAAAGTTAATGATCCAATCAGTAGCTTTTCTGGAGCTTTTGGTCACATCACATGATCTTCTTCAACGGATCAGGAGTCATGGAACTGTAGATGCTCAATTTACAATACATTTCGTTAACATTTTAAAGACTTCTTGCCTATGTTAGCTGAACCTCGTGGTGAGATTGTTCTGCAAACTTCCACGTTCAGAGTAAAGAGCTTCGACTTCAAATCCTTTCAAAGTGACATCACCATGTCTCAAGGTAGGGGTGGACTTTAAAGCTGCTGCATACGGTCGTGCTAACAGTACCTTGTAGTTCTGTTTGATTTTAAATGGTGAACAAACTCGCCATGTAATCCTATCTCATACCAAAACCTGATTATGAATAGAATAATCTAGATCTAGAAAAGTCAACAACGGTATTGTCTCAGTGTAATAATATCTATCAGTATCTATGACAACAATAATATGTGATGATTTCCCCGCTGCTTGTTCCTGCAATATAAATCAACCCTGTATTCATGTTTCATATCAACGTGATACCAGGAATCAGGAACTGCTGGATTCATTTACACTCAAATGCTTGAAACTTTATCCCAAGCATACAGCAGAGGTACAGATGCATGTTCTTCTAGTGAGTCTCTCTCTCCCCCTTTCTCTCCATCTCTATCCTTTAGCAAACACAGGTGTGTGTTTTCGCGCACGTGTGATATACAAAGACAGAGGGAGGAGCATAATTCTAGGCACGCCGGAGCCAGACAGACAGACGGAGACAGACTGAGAGTGGTTCTGTATCAAAGCCAAAGCAAATAAGAGATGTTTTCAAACCAATTTGAACCAGAAGGTAATTCTGTTGCACTCTCTGGATAATGGCCCACATCCAGGTATATCTGAGCAGACTGGTGGCAAATAACAAGCTGGACGAGGGGAGCTTGAGAACACACAGCATAGAGACACCATATGGTGAAGCCCACACAGAGTAATACTAACTATAAACTAATGGGAAAACAGAACAACACCAATACATATCTTTCCTTCAAGAGGAATTGTCTGTACAGCTTTAAAGGTGGGGTATGTAATTTATTTCAGAAACACTTTTTGTTATATTCCATGGAATGCTCTTAACATCCCGATAGCAATGAATACATTAAATTCTTTGACAATAAATATATAAAAAAATGTCATCTGTGGAAGCCGTAATACTGTAAAAAGCACGACCAATCATCTGAGCCGGCCCGGCTAAAATAACTGGATGGCCGACCTGCCTGTCAGCCTTCCATCTGTGCACACACTTATCTCGTGCCCTCATTGGTCATGTGCGCGTTCGTGTGTGTTGGAGGAGGGGCTCTGTAAGGAAGTCTGAAGGAAGAGGCAGATTTTTTTCGGCTGCGTAATTTCAAATTCTAGCGCACTCGAGCTGGTTTCTCCAAAATTACCTACCCCACCTTTAAGAGTAACATTAAAGCCCTTTCAATGTACCTAGAGCAACATTATTCAGACTCAAAGAGCCTTTATCTTTACATTTAGTTTTAATACTACTAAATGAAATTACTCTGCATGTGTTATGAGATGCCAGAAGACCTATACACAACAAACATAAGGAATGATAAAAGATTTTTGGGGGAAATCGAAACATTTTCAAGTGATATATTTCAATTCAAGTATATTTTTAAACCTAAAACATATTTTCCAACTGTTCAAGACTTACAAATCGAACATGATATATGAGTCTTATTAACTCATCCTGATTAATGCCGAGTGCCATCTGTTAATAAAGTGAGCTATCATACTGTTCTATCCACAGACTCCATCAGGCTGCATTTAAGGTAAACAGTAAAAGAGCCACAGTGAGTGAATCCCACTGAGGCCGTATCAGCGCACAGGAGGCAGGTTTAATCATGGGGAAGGGCCTGGTTTCCACCGATAAGACTGCAACAGGACTCAGAGGAAAACAAATCAGACCAAAGTCTAGCTATTCATCCTTTCACAAGATCCAGGATGGGATTTTTATCTTCGTTTGTTTGGTAGAAATAAAGTCTTGTAATTTATGAGGCAATCTAATATGAAACTAATGAAATAAATCCATCAATAATTAACAGAAGTTTGTTAAACCAAGTGCTCTGAAACAGTCATTGTCCCTTAAAACGTATTTTAATCTTCTCCTGTTTCAGTATTTTAGACCAAAATAAACGATAAACCGTTTTAGGTTGGTGATGTTTTAAAGCTTCAGGTGTTTGACTATAAATGTGTAAATATCAGGTGTTCATGATTTTAAGGAAACCTTCCCTGAACAGAGGCAAACAAAAACCTCAACAGTAAAGACACACACACACACACACACACACACACACACCACACACACCACACACACACACACACACACACACACACACACACACACCACACACCACACACACACACACACACACACACACACACACACACACACACACACACACACACACACACACACACACACACACACACACAGCACACACACACCACACACACACACACTACACACACACACACACACACACACACACACACACACACACACACACACACACACACACACACACACACACACACACACACACACACACACACACACACACACACACACACACACACACACACCTTTCATTGAGAAATAGAATTGCCTTTCATCTATATCCAATAAAGTTAATATGTTTGAAGCTGGGTTAGTTCAACTATAAATATGTAATCACATTGCAGTAAAATGTTCTTACCAACAGTAACTCTTGTGTTGGGCATGGACTGTGCATACACAGTATTACTCTAAAGCAGTATTGTAAAGAAAAATCAATGAAAGACATTAGAGATCTCCTCAAAATGGAGGATAATGTAACTTGAGCTTTCAGTACTATATGTTTTCCATGTGACAGGGTTCATGTGACATATCTAAACAGATCTTTATGCAAGCATTCATTAACACCATGTCCTCCGTCCTCTCATCTATATTTAAAGACTCCTGTAAGCGTTCTGAGAAAGATTGTTCACACCAGGATGAATATCTCATAGAGTAAAACCTTATTCCACGTCTGAATGTCAGACAGACTAAATGGTAGCGACATCTCATTTGATCTCTGCTGAACCCTGGTCTTCTGTTTTTCTGCAGTTACCCTCAAATGATGATGAGTGAGGAGGCTGAAAACCAGCTGAACAAACCTTCCATCTTTGTTTCCACTCAACATCATATAACTCATTACATGAATTACACACAAACACACACACACAGTCACACACACACAGTTTGATACCGACTCTTACCAAATGGCTGGGCAGAAGGCTGATGGTTTGCTCTGCCATAAACACCACAAACACTGAACACACACAATCTGTTTCTCCATGCGAATAATTACTGAGCTGCAGCACGAACACTCAAAACAGAAAGCTCTTAATTATATTAAAACATTGTTAAAGAAAAAAGCAACACTTCAAACCCGTAATGGTAATAATATACATCATATTTTGGCTTGTTTAGTCTTTTTTTTTAAAAAGACATTTCGTTTTTAGAGCATCAAAACCAATGTATCTCAGGTGTCATCAGGAAAAGATGGGGCGTTCAGTGCAAGTGTCAACACATGTTTGTTATGTTTTCACCTATCTAAGCACAGGGGGAAACTGGGCTAAACAGGTTCATAAAAACCAACATGTTTGTTTTTCCGAGGCTATAAGTGCAGAGCTGAAAACACCCACCTCCTTCTTGACGGTGCGCAGCAGCCTCTGGCGAGTCTCTGCCTCTGAAACACAGCACACACACACAGGATATTATCACAATCTGTCTAAAAACACAATTTGAATTTAGAAATATAGTTATCCTCTTGTTTTTTGTTGCTCCCACCTGCCATGATTGTTGCCATGGATCCTGTCTCCTGTCTGCGAGCGGCACTACTCCCATCCGCTGAGAGCTGCCTCACAGCGAGGATCAAGCCCCGCCCCTTAAAGACACACACAGGGCAGCCATTGGGTCTGAATCTGAATATAATCTCCATTAGATATATAGTTGCCTACAGAATAGATATCCGTTTATTTGAAATAAAAAGGTTAATATCACTGAATGAGATGCAATGTAAATAGATAAATATAATTGGGAGGAGTACTCAGATCTTGTACTTGAGTAAAAGTACAACTACCAGAGTGTAGATATACTCTGTTACAAGTAACATTCAAAATGTTACTCAAGTGAAAGTACAAAAGTATTAGCATGAAAATATACTTAAAGTACCAAAAGTAAAGATACTCATTGCTAATTGGCCCATTTTAGAATAATATATATTGTATGTTTTGATTATAATTATTGATGCATTAAAGTGTTATCAAAGCTGGTAAAGGTGCAGCTAGTTTTAATAACTTTGTACACAGCAGGGTAGCTTGTGAATGTTACTCCAGGTGTAACTAAAGTCTGATTGAAGAGTTGATTATAATTCACATCATTAATCCAAATCTGCAAAGTAACTACAGGGACATATACAATTGTATTTATACTATTTTAATATAAGTATAATATTGTATTTAATATCTCAAGTTACTTTACAGATTTGGATTAATAATGTGAAATGTAATCAACACTTAAATACAAATGTAGTTATACCTGGAATAAATTCACAAGCTACCCTGCTGTGTACAAAGTCATTAAAACTAGCTGCACATTTACCAGCTTTAATAACACATTAATGAATCAATAATTAAAATCAAAACATACAATATATATTATTCTGAAATGGACCCCTTTGCATAATGACTACTTTTACTTTTGGTTCTTTAAGTATATTTAGATGCTAATACTTTTGCACTTTTACTTGAGTAACATTTTGAATGCAGGTATTTTACTTGTAACAGAGTATTCCTACACTCTGGTACTTCTACTTTTACTTAAGTACAATAACTGTATACCTCTCCCACCTACAGAGTAGTTGCCCGCTTATTTCAAATACAAATGTCAACATCACTGAATGAGACTTAATGCAGTGATCTCATTACGGTAATGTTTTCTGTCGAATAGATGCCATGCAAATAGATATAGATATATGCATATCCCCAAACTGAAACAAAGCATAATACATGATGGATGGGAGTTTTGTGCTTGTAATGTTCCCAACATGGAAACATTTCGTCTTCACGCCATCTTGTGGCAACATAAGGAACAGCTGGGAAACTAAATCCTGTGATTTACCAGTGATTTATCTCCAAATCACATCTGATTGTTACAGATTTGCCATTCAGCAATGTTTGGGCTTGGTATGCATCACTGAAATTGTAATTCAGAATTGATGATGTATCAGAAATGTGGATATACAGCAATTTAAGACTATTCTCCACCTGTTGCTCGATACACTCAGGATACATGAGTTCAAAACGTGGAGCATATCAGGATAAATCTCTGGGTAAACAACAATAGACACAATTCTACATACAAATGTAAAAATATTGATGTTGATAGACTTTTGATTACGTTTACTTAAACACTTTTGTTAGAGAAAAAGGTGTAATTGTGCAAAAATAATTCTACAAATAAATGTATTCCCTTCAATGAGATATCTAATTTTACTTATTCATAAATAATGGTTCAGAAAAGCTGCATCACTTATTGTCCAGATAGCGACGGTGTCTCTATCGAAGCGTACGACCGCCAAAAAAGAACAAATGATTAAATAAAACATACAATTCACAGCTTAAATCTTAATGAAAATGCTGTCTTCAATTATAGCAACACATTTCACACTTCAGTGTTTTTGGTGTGAGTGAGAACTTGTTCAGTAAAACCACCGTCTGTGTCACAGTGAGGAGTGGGTGTAGCATTTAGTGCAGCGAAGTGTGGAGTTTCAGTTCTGCCTGCAGGACTGAGCTGTCATGCAGATCAGGTGGTGAAAACATTGAGGCATAACACAGGATGACAGACTCACAACCAAATCCACATGTTCCTTCTGTGGATAAACATGTCAAAATGTGATTCCTTGTATAATCTTAAATCCTGACACCTGATCACCTGTTCGGACCTGCAGTTTTACAGTTTTTCATGTGAATACCAGCCCGAATAATAAAAAAACTTGAATATTCGGACCATCATGTGTTATTTGGGGATACATAACCATTTCAAATATATAGCAGCAGTTTATGTGTCCTTGGCTGAGAGACAGGGGCTTTATTCCTGCTTCATGTGAGGACTGGTTCTCTATTTCTCTCACAAGCCCTCTCTATAAACCAGGATTCCCCTCGCTGACATGACTCACTGGCAGCAGCTTTAGATAATGTAAGGTAATAGCATGTCTTGTCAAATGCTACACCAGGACTTCTGCTCGAGTAAGCAGCACACAAGAGCCGTCTACAGTTAGCCTTTACATTCTCACATTGGTAAATACAGAGTAATTGAAAACAAGCACATTTATTTAAGCCAAACAGGTAATCTGCAGAATCATAGACATGACTCTGAGAATTTATGTTGTTTCAGACGATCAGAAAATCCAGCGAAGAGGAAAGTTCACTTTATGTGCTCAGGGAACACTGGAGATGAGGATGATTTTCTATCTGGACAGCAGAAAACAGAGAAACACAAAATAAAATCCTGCATTTTCTGAAACAACAGTGCTGTGTCATGTCCATGTCTGTTTGTCTGTCAGCAGAGAAGGCCAACATGCACATGTGTGATTAGACTCGACGTGCGATAGAGGCTCCTGTCAGTCTGATGTTCTTCTGCCCATGTGTGCCAATGCACATTGACAGGATTTGTATGTTGGAGAAGGCCAGTGCTATATGGTTTGTTGTTATGTTGTTACGCTTTGACCCTCAGGGGCCACCACACCTCGGCTGAGCAACCACAGCATTTCCCCCTCAGCTGATTGTTTATTCCTCCCGTCTTAGCTTTGGCAGCGAAAATACATTTTGAATCTGGAGGAATCTGAGCTGTGGAAAAAAAAGTATATATCTATCTATCTATCTATCTATCTATCTATCTATCTATCTATCTATCTATCTATCTATCTATCTATCTATCTATCTATCTATCTATCTATCTATCTATCTATCTATCTATCTATCTATCTATCTATCTATCTATCTATCTATCTATCTATCTATCTATCCTATCTATCATCTATCTATCTATCTATCTATCTATCTATCTATCTATCTATCTATCTATCTATCTATCTATCTATCTATCTATCTATCTATCTATCTATCTATCTATCTATCTATCTATCTATCTATCTATCTATCTATCTACCTATCTACCTATCTACCTATCTATCTATCTATCTATCTATCTATCTATCTATCTATCTATCTATGCTTTTTGACGCATATTTTTGCAAGAAATTACTGAATTCATTGTTTTTAAACAAGAATGTGCATCTGACCATATCCAAGCTTCAGGTTACACATCCAGATAATGATTCATGTAACACCATTGTAAATGACAATTTTATGATGCCTTTGGATGTCTCTTGTCCCGTGTCTGTGTCATATCTATTTGCCAAAAGTGACTTCATTGAATGCACTCTCTGTTGTGTGACTGCTGCTCTCTGCATGTCCTGTTAGCAGCCTTTTCAAAGTGCTCGGTGCTAAAAGTGGTAGATTTGATTAGAAGTATTTTTATTAGGTTATTATATTTCTAAGGAGTGAAGTTGAGCTGCAATGATTATCTTCAGCTGTCTTCACCAAACTATATTACTGAACTGATGATCCAGCTAAGATAGCTTGAGGTGCTTTTTATAGCTCTCTGTGTTAAACTTTAAAACTAGGACTACTTTGATTGTGTGAATATAGAGATCTATATATTGCAACATACATCAATCTTAATAACTACTACTGTAACATCACTACTTTGCCGGGCAACCTGTTGCTTAAATAGAACATAAAGGAGTTTTATCATACAACTAATAATTCTTCTGTGAAATTCAAGCTGAACATTTAGAGCGTTGATAAATGTTTTTCATATATTGTTGGAATTTCAGAACCTAAATTGACTCAAAATATCAGATTTAACATGGAAAAGGACCTTAAACCACATGGAAATGGTGCATGCTGGGATTGTGCAAATGTGATTTGTAACAATAAAGTTGATTTGAGCAAAAGGCAACCATGTTGAGCTCTGCATGTCACATCATTATCATTAAAGGATGATAACCCTGTTAGCCATCAACATGAGCAACATGTTGCTGTTAAATCGGAATTAATTGGGAATTTAGGAGGCTGCAGTCAGCATGTCGTTGTGTCCCTGGAAAGACACTTCCCCCCGAATTGCTCCTGTGGGGACTGCCCACAGTATTGAATGTATGTAAGTCACTTTGGATAAAAGCGTCTAACAAGTGACATCTGACATGTAATGTAATGTAATGCCCAAAGCACAAGCAATATATTAATGAATTAAGTGGAGAGAAAAAACAAAAAGTTGCATATCAATATGCATTTGATATTGAGGTAATCCAAAAGTTACAAAATGTTATCAGATTACATTGTGCATATTTCGGAATGATATATATCATGTGTTTTGATTGTATTATTGATGCATTAAAGTGTTATCATAAAGATGCTGCTAGTAATTGTGGACTAAAGTCTAAGTTATTGATAATATTTTACATGATTAAAAGTAGCCTACAAGATTGACCTCTGAATTGTAGAGGGGTAGAAGTAGCAGGAAAGTAAAGTAAAAGTACCTCAGCATTTTACTTAAGTACAGTATCATAGTAAATGTACTTAGTTACTTTCCACCACGCTCTCTGTGATCTTTCTCCACCAACAGGTATCCCCAAGTGTCCGCTCAGCTCCTCCCACTGCTGCCTGTCCCCACCACAGAGAAACATCCTCTCTGCGGAGCTGCTCCTCTGACTGACTTTTTCACAGTCCGATGCCCCAGCAGGACCCAGCAGCCATGGCCGGCACTCTGACCCACCCAGGCTCCCCTAACCCCGGCTACACCTCCAACAACGCCGCGGCCCCCGTCCCGGTGCCGGCCATCACACAGACGGACTCCAGGGACAAATGGAGCAAAAAAATGGATTTTCTCCTGTCTGTCATTGGCTTTGCGGTGGACCTGGGAAATGTTTGGAGATTTCCGTATGTGTGTTATCAAAACGGTGGCGGTAAGTGGTTTAGTTATTTTTACACCAGGCCTTTTATTTCACAAGTTAGGAGCAACTTGACAAACACTTTTATATGTTCTTCAAACCGATTAAAACTCAGAATTGGAGCTCAAAATGGCTTTGAATTATTCAGAAATCCGGCTGAAGCTGCGCATTTGTCAGGAGAAACTGTCCATGGTGCTGAAGGGCACAGCCTTCACATCACTAAAAAGTTTCAACACGTTTACCACGAATAGCATGTTAAACTTTTATCAATCGTATTTACTCCGCAAAAGCCTCTCAAAGTCCAGCTTTTTTGACAAAAAAAACGAAAGAAAAATGTCATTCTTTTTTTTTCTACACAGATATATTTTCAATCCTGAAATTTGTTTGTAAAGTTGTGTGCTTAACTTAACATCACCAACAAAGGGTCGATAATATTGGCAAAACATATTCATTAAATAATACCTTTAACAAAGTGATGCAATGAGACATAAAAAGGCATTGCGAATATAAATAAAAGACAATTAAAACACATACAAACAGGATTGAAAAAGCATAAATAGATGATAAATGCCATTTTAAAACTGAATAATCAAGATTATGAAGACATTATTTGTTATAATTTGCAGTTAGGTGTTTTAAAATAGCGTTGATGGCATGTTCTTAACCCAAAGCTTTGTTTAAAAAAGATTTGTCTTTGTTAATCCCCATGTAAGCTGAAAGTTGCTGTATACCACCATTACTACAGTCATAAAAAACGAGGGCAATGGAAAGTCTATGTTTCATTAACATTACATTTTTAAGTTCAGCCTTGTTTAGTCCTCACTCTGAAGTCTTTCTTTAATGTTCACACTTTATTACACATGAGACTTACATTGATTATTACCTTCATGTGTCTCTGTGCAGGTGCTTTCCTTATTCCCTACATATTGATGGCCATCTTTGGCGGTGTGCCGCTCTTCTACATGGAGCTGGCACTGGGCCAGTTCCACAGAACCGGAGCCATATCCATATGGAAACACATCTGTCCCATTTTCAAAGGTAAGGCCTCACACTGCGCTGCTCAACATCAGATAATCAGATAGCTACCTTTCTGAGACTTAGTGATAGACAGAGGTGGAAGAAGTACTCACATCTTGTACTTAAGTAAAAGTAGAAGTGAATATTCTATCTTGATGTTATGTAACATCAAAGGGACTCAGTGAGTGATTCTGTTTCAGGTATAGGATATGCCATTTGTGTCATCGCCCTGTACGTGTCCTTCTACTACAACACCATCATCGCCTGGGCCCTCTTCTACTTCTACCACTCTTTTTCCACCGTCTTGCCTTGGACAAACTGCGACAATGTGTGGAACACCCCCGACTGCACCAACTACTTTGGCACGGACAACGTCACCTGGACGAATTCCTCCAGGTCTCCCGCAGAGGAATTTTACACGTAAGTTCATGTAAGTGTGAGTTACAGAAACCACATATAAAAATAGCTTTACAGTAATACTCTAAAAATAATACAAATAGAGCCGGCTTGTGATGTGGTACGGGAAATGTTGTCTGGCATGCTGAAGCTGTGATGATTCATGTGTTTCATCGTGACAGGAGGAATGTTCTTGAGATCCACAAGTCTTCGGGGCTGAGAGACGTCGGGGGGGTTCGCTGGCAGTTGATGCTCTGCCTTTTTCTCATTTTCACCATCGTATACTTCAGCCTGTGGAAGGGCGTAAAGACTTCAGGGAAGGTAACACATTGTATGCTTTATTACCACAACAACAGAGAAGTTAATATGTATCGTCTCTACTGTAATCACATGTATATGGTCTCCTGATTGATCTCTTTCTTCCTCACCAGGTAGTGTGGGTGACGGCCACCTTGCCCTACATTGTGCTCTTCATCCTGCTTATTCGAGGCGCCACTCTGCCAGGAGCCTGGAGAGGTGTGGTGTTCTACCTGAAACCACAGTGGGGGAAGTTGCTGGAGACCCGTGTGAGTTGTACATAGTCGGTCAGTCAGAAAAGGATGCATTTCAATCGTCTTCAACGAGAGAAAAAGAGGGCATACCTCATGTATTTGGTTCCTTGAGAATCGTATTTATATTACTTCGAAAGATCCAGTGCCTGATAAATTAAAAAAAGAAAGATTGTAAGGAGAAGAAATTGACGTAAAAACATAAATGCATGCAGATAGCAACATAAAATAACAAATCAACACTTTCAATTTGCCTCAAGTACAACAATTAAATGTTACCTCTTAGATTGTTTTCTTTTTGGATTTGATGTCTTACTTTTAAAAAGCAGTGTGTGTTAATATAATTACTAAAATCTCTTCCCTTTTTCCACCATTTTCTCAGAGAATGTACAAATGTATGGTTATTGAAAGACAAAAGATAAATAATATTTTCATTTTTTACTTCCAAAAGGATCTTTATTCTGGGTACTAAGATATATTTCTCCACGGTCCTGCGAACATGAGGGAGTTCTTGAAAAGCCTCCTGTATTTAACTTGCTGTAATAGTGTAGTAAAAAAAAAACATCTGGATTTTCCAAGCATAGGACGCAGTGGTTTAAAAATATAACTACACCTATTTCTACCCATTATTCCCTTAAGAATTTACTATATTTTCTATTTTCGATCTATGAAATGTCCTCTGTTTCCTCTCCAGCTCTCAGCGGTTGTTTGCTAAACATGTGTGAGTGCTTTGGATGGGAGGGAATATGGATGAGACTTAATGAGATGCATAAATAAGCCACAGAGCAGGATAATAAGATGCATAATTGGTTTAGATTTTCTGCCCATTAACAAAGGCCTCCCTTTCTGTCTCACTCACCGATATACAACGCTGCTCTCTTCTTTTTAATGCCGAATGCGTGCTGCTCTTCAGATCTCCCTGCATACAGCTGTGTGGCAACTAGATTTATATACTACTGAAACAACACCTCTTCTGCCTGGTGAATTATACTGAGGGATTAAAACACAGAAATAAAATGAAATGAAAATAGTTATTCCCTTTGGGGGGTGATATTAAAACACTGAGAGTAATGACCTAGCAGAAAGTGGTTCTAATCTTTAAAATAATAGTATTTTAAAGCTTTTATAGGCCTACAACTTGTATGTTTAGATGGTGTAATGTCTATTTCTGTCTCTTCCAGGTATGGGTGGATGCGGCGGCTCAGATTTTCTTCTCCCTGGGGCCCGGGTTCGGCGTGCTCCTGGCTCTCTCCAGCTACAACCCTTTCACAAATAACTGCTATCGGTAAGAGCTGAGCTTCATTGTAGACCTGCGACACACTGAGTCATGTGAACCTACATTGGTGGCTTTAACACCTCCTGTTGAATTTGAGGATTGAGTTTAATGACTTCAGCGCTCAGATCTCTAAGAGGAGCTGTGTGATTTATTGCTCATGCATTAAATACGACGATGTGGTCCAGACGGTATTATAGAGCCTGGAGTGATGAATACTACATGTTAGCTACAAATGCCAAGATGTACACAGGAGAAGACATAAGCTGTACTGTATGACTAATAGTGTGTGTGGCTGATGTGATTAGTGGAGCAATGGGGCATGTGAGGAAACGAAATGTGTGTTTTATTGTGTAGGTATGAATGAAACTGGATGCTGCCGTTTAAACCGATTACCAAAATATAATGTGTCAAACCTCAGTGTGATAATGACTTATTCTGAGTTCATTTTATTTTTTTATGTTTAACTAATATATTATAAATGCATGAGTGTCTTCTCTATGATATTAGAAAAGTACATATAAATTGCAACGTAACAAACGTCCAACTCTGACTCAAAACATTGTATTTCTTATCTTACATGCATTTGTTTGAAGGCATTAGTTTTAAAAAAGGATGTCTTTTTATTTATCAAATACACTATTACATATATACATAATACAATATTCTGTGGAGGCTGCCTGAAGATGAAAGATGTTCATTTTCTAAAAGCATCGACTGATCTTCTCTTGTTTTACATCTATAATGAACATCCAGCACACATCCTTCAGTAGAGTATTCCTCATTATTGTTGTGAGATGTTTATGGTTGCTAGGAGTATCTTCATATGTCGGACATACGCTGAATAGAAAAAGCAATCCATTAAACAAAGGCAAAGCTTTGAGCAGCTCTCCCATCAGACACTGATACTTTGAAGCAATGCCTCTGATAGAAATGAAACATTAGCTTTGAAAAAAAGAGAATTTCAGAAATGAATCATTATGCTGCGTGCTCTTGAAGAAAATGTAATTTCTCCCTCCACAGAGACGCCATAGTGACCAGTTTGGTGAACTGTTTGACGAGCTTCGTGTCGGGGTTTGTGATCTTCACGGTGCTCGGATACATGGCAGAGATGAGGCAGGTGGAGGTGGAGGATGTAGCCAGGGATAAAGGTCAGGGAATCAGTTTATTTATTTAAATCCTGTGAAGATAAAACTCAATTATGAATCAACTGCTGACCCTATTCTCTGTTTATTCAATACTGTAAGTTCATGCTTTCAGGTCCAAGTTTGCTCTTCATCACGTACCCAGAGGCCATTGCAAACATGATGGGCTCGACCTTTTTTGCAATCATCTTTTTTGTGATGATGATCACGTTGGGACTGGACAGCACGGTACGAACCTTTGAACAGGGGACATAGATGGTTCTTTTATGTATAACAGAACAATATTTGAAGCTGTAGTGATATTTACTATACTGAAATATTATTATTATTATACCTGATATTAAGCATCCAATAAATTGAATGGCTTATGCAGATTGAAATATCTACAAGCTACACTGAAAAAACTGAACCGTTGACTTTACTTAAATGTACTATGTCAACAAATTCCATATAACTGTATAAGGTTAGTTGAAAGCAATAATATTAAGTTTGAATAAGAAATATTAGGTTTAACTAAACATTATTGCTTTCCACTGACATCGTACAGTTATATGACATTTGTTGACATATTACATTTAATTATAGTCAATTTCCCGTTTTTTTCCATGTACAATACAGTACTATGTCAAACGTTCTAACAACAACAAGTGACTGTGTGTTTCAGTTCGGGGGGCTGGAGGCGATCATCACTGCTGTGTTGGATGAATACCCGGATCGTTTCTCACACAGGCGGGAACTTTTAGTTCTGGGCTTGGTAGTCGTCTGCTTTTTGGGCTCTCTAAGCACCCTTACATATGTACGTTTTTATTTTTTATTTTAAAGCTTGGGTTATTGCCTGGATATATTGTAGTGAATTAAAAACGTCTGCAGTCTGGTGATGGATTTTGATTAGTAAGTGTATAATGATTTCGACAGGGTGGTGCCTATGTGGTGAAGCTGCTGGAGGAATTCGGAGTGGGATGCTCCATTATAGCTGTGGGTTTCCTCGAGGCCATCGCAGTTTTCTGGTTCTACGGTAAACACAATGTTATATCAACTGACCTGTGTTCAGTTTCTTTTATCTGCTATGTACATGGATGACCCTTGATATTGAAATACATTGTTAGCATATGAAAAACAAAAGGCTGCGACTTTTGTGTTGCTTTCAGGTATCACAAGATTTAGCAATGATGTTAAGGCCATGCTGGGCAAAGCTCCAGGATTGTTCTGGAAGGTGTGCTGGGTGGCCATCAGTCCAGCATTTCTAGCGGTAAGATATGAGATTCTGTGAACTGGAGCTTTATCTTTACAATGCTAACATTTACTTTAACGGTTTTATATAAAACACCAGATAAGTAATATTCAACATGTAGTCATTTTAAAAATATCATCCAATTGGCAGAAGTGGATCAGTACAAATATATAGGTCACCAAAACAGGTAAGAAGTAAGAAGATCTCAAAGACGTACGTTATCTGGATAACTAAATATCAGAATGAATATTTTAACATGTTTCTGTGTTCTATATTTTATGTGTTTTCAGGCTTTATGTCGCAAAACATTCTCAGATAACTCAATTAACCTGCTTCTTAAAACAGGCCCTAAATGCTTTAATGGCAAATTACTTCTCATTTTTGTACATGTACTATATTCAAACTGTGAAAAGGAACTTACACATTGAACACTGTTAAGCCAGTGCCAACATGTTTTACTCCATACATACAGCTGTGTGTAAGATCAAAGGACTACTCCACCAACAGCTGATCCCCCTTGTGTACATTAAGCCCTCCTCTATATGAAATATCTTCTTCAACACTTTTTCAAAAACATGTTTATTGCATAAATGTCAGGTAAATGTCAACGTCCCTCCCCTATATATAGTTTAATATCTTTCTCTCTTATTTGCATCAATCGTTCTTCCTGTTGACATTTTGTATTATTACTCTATGACTTTCTCTATAGCATACATGTATATTTTATGACAGATATATTACCCTTTCTCTAAATATTCTCCTATGTAAGAATGCAAAAGTTATATTTCTATATAGAGATGCTAAATATGGAAATGTTATGTGTCCCAACTCTTCTCAGTATATTATAGTGAGCTCCCTGCTGAAAGTGCCGCACCTGACGCTGTTCGACTACACATACCCAGACTGGAGCATCACAGTGGGATACATGATGGCCCTCTCCTCCTTCATGTGGATCCCCATCTACATGGTCTACAAGCTGGTGTGGACCCCTGGATCTCTCAAACAGGTCAGTGGAGGACAGAGGAAGGAATACAAACAAAAACAGAAAACACAAGTTGTTATGTGCAGAAAATGCAGAAAACACATTTCCTTAAAGGTCACCTATTATGCAAAATCCACTTTCCAGAGATTCTGAAAGTTTCAGGAAAAAATATTCGCTCACTTTTTGTCCTGATCCATTTATATAAAAACCTGTCTGAAAATGAGCTGATCACATTTTGGCCACTTTATGATGTCATAAGGATTTGTTGGCTTGTGTAACCAATAGCCAATCACCAACCAAGGTAACCCCCCCACCTTATCACCCGAATCTCCTCCGAGAGCACCATTGTGTTATTTTTAACCAAATATAAAGGGCGTGGGGAGTGGCTCCTTATTTTCATCTAAAGACAGAGAATCAGCACTTTTGAAACAGGGCTGAAACAGAGGGGATTATGGGATGCTACAATGATCTGTTTGGTATTTGGAGCAAAACACTTCAGAAACATGTTTTGTATATATCTGAGACCTGTAATATATTGATGAAAAACAGTATAATAGGGGACCTTTAACATTTAACTTCTACCTGTCTGGTTTCCCACAGAGGTTGGCGGTGTGTCTCAGACCGGAGAGGACCCTACCTGACATCCACGCTGACAGCCTCAACATGGCCACTGTGCCGTAGAAAGAAAAATATCCCTTGCTTGTAGTTTCTACTCAAAAACCACAGTTTTAAGTTATTATTTATGACTGGACCTAAAGGTTATCTGACAACGTGACAGTTACCTGCTGATTACATTACATTACATGTTACTTGTTAGATGCTTTTATCCAAAGCGACTTACATACTCAATACTGTGGACAATCCCCACTAGAGCAATTTTGGGGTGAAGTGTCTCAGGGACACAACGACATGCTGACTGCAGTGGAGTTTGAACCTGTGCTCCCCTGATCCTAACACCAATGCACTATCCACTACGCCACACGCCTGCGTGTGGCGCTGATGATATCCAACATGACAACTTTCACTGCACATAAACACTAAAATGGTAAATATAGCTAAATGTGTTATTCCAGGAGGAACTGAAATAGCAATACTCAATCAGATCTACAGCTTCACATGTTACCATTTACAAGTGTTGCATTTGTGCTATGTGGGAGTTGGTAGTGAATACTTAAACGTAATGGTTTCCCCTTAATCTGCTGTCTTTATCACACAAGAACTATATGCCAAGGAAAATAAAAACAAGTATTTCCATATGTTACATTCAGCCAACTATTACTATTGCATGAGGTTGTTTTCTCCTTTTAAATTCTAAATGTCCTGTATGTAAAAAGCAAGATGAAACAATCATAAGGTTATATTGATTGTTCCACTAGAATAATCATGGCGGCAGAGTTTTGCATTTCTCACGTAATTATTCACTTTATTTATAGGGCTTATTATTCGCTAATGGACAACAAATCTTAAAGTATGTCAGCTGATGTTTTTCAAACCAGGTGTTACCGACTTTGCAGTATTTTTTTTGTAGTCATTTGAACAGATATTAAGTATGGTTTGTGTTGGAATAAGTCTAAACACATTTTTTGCTGGACACACAAACAAGATGGGACCAAACCTAAAGTAGTTCACCAGTAAACGTCAGACCTTCCTTTAGTTTCGCCAATGCTGTTTTTCATATTCATGAAGTAGATTTGTAATACAGTGCTGGTATAGTGTTTTGTAATGGAGATATGTGAGGCACAGACAAAGTTCATCAGTTCGTTTTCAGAATAATTTTCTTCTTAAATCTTAGATTTTTTGTGTATTATTTTGGCATTTTAGAAAGTAGAAGTCCTGCCTGTAGTTACAGTACATTATGATAATATAATATGTCCAAGTGTAAGTTTGTTGGTGCTTTATATTCAAAATGAACTTTTTGATCTCCATCTGATGCCTGTATTTAACTCCAGATAGCCTGTTTTGCCTTAATCTGCCTAAATATTACACTGTATGTACAAAACGTGTAAAGGTTGTATTGATATTGTGCCTCTCCAATGTTTTCAATGTAATTTGAGACTGTTCAAATGTTTTTTGTAGACACATAGCGTAATATCACTTGTGTCTTTTCCATTTATTAATCTAAAGTGCTTTATACTGTATTTTTATTTATAGAATAATGTGATGAGCAAGGTGATGATTGTTGTGTGATTTCAGTTATTTTTGAACCTGGTTTATGTACTAGTAAGATGTGTATAAATGAATGATGGTAAATTACATATTTTATCTTTGTGCTTCTTGTCGTTCCTGGAGGTTAAACATGAATATGACCAAACAAACTCAACATCATATATATTGCGTTAAATTCCACTATCTGTATTACAACAGGTATTTTCTATCTCGAATGTTACACATGTAGCAGACCACATAAGAGGGTTCTCTTTTGTAAATCTCCATATGGTGATCTTCATGTCTTTGTGATGGCTGTTGGCTGTTGCTGCTCACCGCTATTAGATATTCTAATTAACAAGCTAATTTGCAATATCCCGAATCCATCAACATACAGGGGAATAGAGCAGCCTCTACACACACACACACACACACACACACACACACACACACACACACACACACACACACACACACACACACACACACACACACACACACACACACACACACACACACACACACACACACACACACACACACACACACACACACAGTGCAATCTCCTGAAGGATGACAGGTATGAACGTAAACGAGAGGACGAGAGGAGAAAGTGGTTTGAAACATATGATCCCCATTGAGCTGCTGGTTGACGGACGTGCAGATCAAAGCCCTTTTGTGTCACTGACTGCCATTGAAGTAGAGAACAGGAGGAACATAAAAGAGACACTGCTAAATAGACGGTATCTTCTCTACCTGACATGAACAGCTCGACAAACAGTATATTAAAGGACAACACGACTGATACGTGTTGCAGTGCGGCCATTAATCGCACTAATACTACCTCTTGGTGTATAATACTCAGCTAGCAGGAGTGATATGGAAATATTGGATCTTCAGATAATGTGTGCAAAAATGTATCTTAAGAATCACCCTCCCTCCAAGAATGCTACGTAAAAAAAGAAAGATAATTATGAAAGAAAAATAATGAGTGAGAATCTTAAAATAAAAAGTCCAAGTTAATATAAGGGATAGAATATAACATTACAAAAAATATATAAAGTATATATGAGACAGTGTATACAATTGAATAACCTGAATGCAAATATAAGTGAAATGCTCTTGTGAATGTATATGAGATAAGTTGTTAAACACTAAGTGAGAGTATTTAAAAGGTAAAGTGATAATGTAATGTTGTCGGGTGGTGAGCGTCCTACAGTATATGCTTGGAGTTTTCTGTCCTCATTCAATTATAACCATGTAACTATTGTTAATAAATGAGTTAATAGCGCAGATTTAACAATGTTAAACAGGTATTATGATGTAATAAATAAACGCATCGAGTATACTGTGATGATGTTATGCTCATATACATGTGCTGTCATGACAATGTTCAAATCCATTGATGAATCAACAGGAACATACAAATAGAAGATGACACAGAGTCACACTTATAATAAGTTTAAAGGTGCTTTTCCTTATTGAAAACATGAAACCTATCAGTGTCCATTCTTGATTTATGTAAGCATAGTAAAGCCAGTTTAATCCAGTTTAAATGTCTTCGTTCTCTGAGTTCATGCCGTAATGAAATGTTTTTTTGTTTTGATTAATTTTTCCAGCAAGCCTCCAGTTTTAATTTCAGGCCGGCGTGAGTGACATTTCCTAAGATTCATTAAGCTTCTCTGGCATGTGGTTAAGAACCATAAGTGTTTGTAATGGTGTGCACTCTTAAATTCTATAGAGGATGGAGGTAAAGGCCATATACATCACTCATGCAGATTAATTATATAAGGATATAACCGCAAGGAGCTTGACCTTTTTATCTTTTCTTCATTGCTCTTTGACATTTCAGATATGGGGAAATGTGACGAAGGCCTCCCACTTGTTTGATGGTTATCAGTAAGAGAAAAAGATGATACGCTCTGAATTTATACAGTCCAGCTATCTCAAAAAACCAGAAGCTTTCAGGAACAGTCAGGGCTGCAGAAAGGCCTGAACAATTCCTTTAACACTGGCAGTGTAAAAAAGAACATGCTAGAGCTGAACAAATTAACCTATCATTAATTTGTCAGAAAAATACTTATTGTTGAAGTGACTTACGATGCAAAAATATGAAGAAAATTATTCTATGAAATCATCAAACATTCACATTTTAAAACCAGTGAATGTGTCAAATGTCTTTTAACAATCTCTATTGTCAGAATAATTTCCTAGGACGTTTTCCAAAATAACAATATAACATGTTACTAATTATTGGGTATATAGAGACAGTGTAAGGATTGTACAATTTTAATAAACAACTTCTAATTAACTGCAACTTCATAGAGACTCATTATTACAATATATGGTATGTACTTGTATCTATTCTATTTTCATTATTTAGCTTGAATTTTTGGAGGATTTCCATGAATGTATTAATTGATCAAATAAAGGATTACTTGTAAAAATAGTTGTCAATTAACTTTCTTCCCATTGACAACTACTACTCTCTATCGCTGTAAGAAGAAGTATTCAGATCCTTTACTTAAGTAAAAGTACAAATACTATGGTTTTAAAGTAGGCTACTACGTAAAAGTCCTAATTTCAAATTGTTACTTAAACCCTCCTATTGTCTTCGTTTCCCCCCCCCCCCTTACTTTGGTATTCACGGTCAAATTTGACCGGTCCTGTTTTAACTGCTATTACATTAACACAAAAAACATCACCAAATTTCATTTAACACCCTTTCAAACTGTAAATATTGTATAGACTACTGGTATACATGAAAAACTGCAGTAAATATACAAAGAACAGACACTGAACATGTATTGCGTGTGCCAGGTGTGATCCATGTGGGGGGATGGGCACATAAGAGCGGGAAATGTGTCAAATTGTTCTGTGTGTGTGTGTGTGTGTGTGTGTGTGTGTGTGTGTGTGTGTGTGTGTGTGTGTGTGTGTGTGTGTGTGTGTGTGTGTGTGTGTGTGTGTGTGTGTTTGTGAGTGCCAGGTGTGATTCACATAAGGGGGGATTGGGCACATAAGGGGGGGTACACATCTAGAGTATGTGTGTGTGTGTGTGTGTGTGTGTGTGTGTGTGTGTGTGTGTGTGTGTGTGTGTGTGTGTGTGTGTGTGTGTGTGTGTGTGTGTGTGTGTGTGTGTTTTATCTGATCCGGATGGTTACTAATTCCTTTTCTTATGTCGGTCATTTTTGACCGGGAACACCATGGGTGTTACAAACTTGACTAAATCATCCAAAATTCAATGAAAGTGGTGGTCAGCAATTTGATATGTTCAAATGTCTACTGTGAAGGATATCATAAAGCCTTAATGCAATCGAATGTAAAACAAAAAAGTTATGATTGATGAAAGTAGTAAATCGGTCAGATTTGACCCGAAGACAACAGGAGGGTTAAGTAAAAGCGCAAGTATTAGCAACAAGATATACTTAAAGTACAACAAGTAAAAGCAGAATGGATCTTTTCACGGTATCATGGTTATTATTCTATCCTGTTTTTATTCATGAATAAGTATTTTATTGTTGTGGTTGGTCAATGTAGACCAAATGTAGATACTTGAAATAGGCCTACCTGTTACAGTAAAATAAATGTAGTGGAGTAAAAGGCGCCTCTGAAATGTAGTATAGTTTAAAATTAAAATAATACTAAAGTAAATATCCTTAGTTACTTTCCACCACTGCTGATACTAATCGTTTCCGCTCAGAGACTCTGTAACAACTCTAGGGCTTTAGGACCCGGATGCTCCAGCGGAAGAGGAAAGCAGCACCATCTCCATCCTCCTCATCCTCCAGCTGCCCCGCTATGATGCTGCACCTCATCCGTCAGGCTCTCATCATGAGCTTCAGTGTGTTAGTTAACGCACAATCCGAGGACTCCAAACTCACCGAG